AGTCTGTTCTCTACATCCAGTCTGTTCTCTACATCCAGTCTGTTCTCTACATCCAGTCTGTTCCCTACATCCAGTCTGTTCTCTACATCCAGTCTGTTCTCTACATCCAGTCTGTTCTCTACATCCAGTCTGTTCTCTACATCCAGTCTGTTCTCTACATCCAGTCTGTTCTCTACATCCAGTCTGTTCTCTACATCCAGTCTGTTCTCTACATCCAGTCTGTTCTCTACATCCAGTCTGTTCTCTACATCCAGTCTGTTCTCTACATCCAGTCTGTTCTCTACATCCAGTCTGTTCTCTACATCCAGTCTGTTCTCTACATCCAGTCTGTTCTCTACATCCAGTCTGTTCTCTACATCCAGTCTGTTCTCTACATCCAGTCTGTTCTCTACATCCAGTCTGTTCTCTACATCCAGTCTGTTCTCTACATCCAGTCTGTTCTCTACATCCAGTCTGTTCTCTACATCCAGTCTGTTCTCTACATCCAGTCTGTTCTCTACATCCAGTCTGTTCTCTACATCCAGTCTGTTCTCTACATCCAGTCTGTTCTCTACATCCAGTCTGTTCTCTACATCCAGTCTGTTCTCTACATCCAGTCTGTTCTCTACATCCAGTCTGTTCTCTACATCCAGTCTGTTCTCTACATCCAGTCTGTTCTCTACATCCAGTCTGTTCTCTACATCCAGTCTGTTCTCTACATCCAGTCTGTTCTCTACATCCAGTCTGTTCTCTACATCCAGTCTGTTCTCTACATCCAGTCTGTTCTCTACATCCAGTCTGTTCTCTACATCCAGTCTGTTCTCTACATCCAGTCTGTTCTCTACATCCAGTCTGTTCTCTACATCCAGTCTGTTCTCTACATCCAGTCTGTTCTCTACATCCAGTCTGTTCTCTACATCCAGTCTGTTCTCTACATCCAGTCTGTTCTCTACATCCAGTCTGTTCTCTACATCCAGTCTGTTCTCTACATCCAGTCTGTTCTCTACATCCAGTCTGTTCTCTACATCCAGTCTGTTCTCTACATCCAGTCTGTTCTCTACATCCAGTCTGTTCTCTACATCCAGTCTGTTCTCTACATCCAGTCTGTTCTCTACATCCAGTCTGTTCTCTACATCCAGTCTGTTCTCTACATCCAGTCTGTTCTCTACATCCAGTCTGTTCTCTACATCCAGTCTGTTCTCTACATCCAGTCTGTTCTCTACATCCAGTCTGTTCTCTACATCCAGTCTGTTCTCTACATCCAGTCTGTTCTCTACATCCAGTCTGTTCTCTACATCCAGTCTGTTCTCTACATCCAGTCTGTTCTCTACATCCAGTCTGTTCTCTACATCCAGTCTGTTCTCTACATCCAGTCTGTTCTCTACATCCAGTCTGTTCTCTACATCCAGTCTGTTCTCTACATCCAGTCTGTTCTCTACATCCAGTCTGTTCTCTACATCCAGTCTGTTCTCTACATCCAGTCTGTTCTCTACATCCAGTCTGTTCTCTACATCCAGTCTGTTCTCTACATCCAGTCTGTTCTCTACATCCAGTCTGTTCTCTACATCCAGTCTGTTCTCTACATCCAGTCTGTTCTCTACATCCAGTCTGTTCTCTACATCCAGTCTGTTCTCTACATCCAGTCTGTTCTCTACATCCAGTCTGTTCTCTACATCCAGTCTGTTCTCTACATCCAGTCTGTTCTCTACATCCAGTCTGTTCTCTACATCCAGTCTGTTCTCTACATCCAGTCTGTTCTCTACATCCAGTCTGTTCTCTACATCCAGTCTGTTCTCTACATCCAGTCTGTTCTCTACATCCAGTCTGTTCTCTACATCCAGTCTGTTCTCTACATCCAGTCTGTTCCCTACATCCAGTCTGTTCTCTACATCCAGTCTGTTCTCTACATCCAGTCTGTTCTCTACATCCAGTCTGTTCTCTACATCCAGTCTGTTCTCTACATCCAGTCTGTTCCCTACATCCAGTCTGTTCTCTACATCCAGTCTGTTCTCTACATCCAGTCTGTTCTCTACATCCAGTCTGTTCTCTACATCCAGTCTGTTCTCTACATCCAGTCTGTTCCCTACATCCAGTCTGTTCTCTACATCCAGTCTGTTCTCTACATCCAGTCTGTTCTCTACATCCAGTCTGTTCCCTACATCCAGTCTGTTCTCTACATCCAGTCTGTTCTCTACATCCAGTCTGTTCCCTACATCCAGTCTGTTCTCTACATCCAGTCTGTTCTCTACATCCAGTCTGTTCCCTACATCCAGTCTGTTCTCTACATCCAGTCTGTTCTCTACATCCAGTCTGTTCTCTACATCCAGTCTGTTCTCTACATCCAGTCTGTTCTCTACATCCAGTCTGTTCCCTACATCCAGTCTGTTCTCTACATCCAGTCTGTTCTCTACATCCAGTCTGTTCTCTACATCCAGTCTGTTCTCTACATCCAGTCTGTTCTCTACATCCAGTCTGTTCTCTACATCCAGTCTGTTCTCTACATCCAGTCTGTTCTCTACATCCAGTCTGTTCTCTACATCCAGTCTGTTCTCTACATCCAGTCTGTTCCCTACATCCAGTCTGTTCTCTACATCCAGTCTGTTCTCTACATCCAGTCTGTTCTCTACATCCAGTCTGTTCTCTACATCCAGTCTGTTCTCTACATCCAGTCTGTTCCCTACATCCAGTCTGTTCTCTACATCCAGTCTGTTCTCTACATCCAGTCTGTTCTCTACATCCAGTCTGTTCTCTACATCCAGTCTGTTCTCTACATCCAGTCTGTTCTCTACATCCAGTCTGTTCTCTACATCCAGTCTGTTCTCTACATCCAGTCTGTTCTCTACATCCAGTCTGTTCTCTACATCCAGTCTGTTCTCTACATCCAGTCTGTTCTCTACATCCAGTCTGTTCTCTACATCCAGTCTGTTCTCTACATCCAGTCTGTTCTCTACATCCAGTCTGTTCTCTACATCCAGTCTGTTCTCTACATCCAGTCTGTTCTCTACATCCAGTCTGTTCTCTACATCCAGTCTGTTCTCTACATCCAGTCTGTTCTCTACATCCAGTCTGTTCTCTACATCCAGTCTGTTCTCTACATCCAGTCTGTTCTCTACATCCAGTCTGTTCTCTACATCCAGTCTGTTCTCTACATCCAGTCTGTTCTCTACATCCAGTCTGTTCTCTACATCCAGTCTGTTCTCTACATCCAGTCTGTTCTCTACATCCAGTCTGTTCTCTACATCCAGTCTGTTCTCTACATCCAGTCTGTTCTCTACATCCAGTCTGTTCCCTACATCCAGTCTGTTCTCTACATCCAGTCTGTTCTCTACATCCAGTCTGTTCTCTACATCCAGTCTGTTCTCTACATCCAGTCTGTTCCCTACATCCAGTCTGTTCTCTACATCCAGTCTGTTCTCTACATCCAGTCTGTTCTCTACATCCAGTCTGTTCTCTACATCCAGTCTGTTCTCTACATCCAGTCTGTTCTCTACATCCAGTCTGTTCTCTACATCCAGTCTGTTCTCTACATCCAGTCTGTTCCCTACATCCAGTCTGTTCTCTACATCCAGTCTGTTCTCTACATCCAGTCTGTTCTCTACATCCAGTCTGTTCTCTACATCCAGTCTGTTCTCTACATCCAGTCTGTTCCCTACATCCAGTCTGTTCTCTACATCCAGTCTGTTCTCTACATCCAGTCTGTTCTCTACATCCAGTCTGTTCTCTACATCCAGTCTGTTCTCTACATCCAGTCTGTTCTCTACATCCAGTCTGTTCTCTACATCCAGTCTGTTCTCTACATCCAGTCTGTTCCCTACATCCAGTCTGTTCTCTACATCCAGTCTGTTCTCTACATCCAGTCTGTTCTCTACATCCAGTCTGTTCTCTACATCCAGTCTGTTCCCTACATACAGAATGTTCCTCTGCTTGGTTTGGATTTGGGTCACAGCTGAATGTGAACTCAAACATATAAGAAAAACTTCCTTTTTGGTTGATAAAAGCTTTTTTTTTATTTGTCAATTTGGTCCCCAGGAAGCAGAACAGATCCTAGCCCTATTTTCTTTTACTACCAAAGAAATAAAATATTTTCATGTACACCTTGCAATGCAGTCACGGATCACTAGGTATCCCCTGATCAGTAGGAATTTATGGTTACCACAGCAACCACAAGGAGGAGACTTTTTAAGTATTGAAGACAGAAACAGAGTTTGATGGATGAAGTAATTATATTAGCGAGTGTAGGAGCCATTTATAGTTGTTGGTGTTTAGGTATGGTTTATTTTTTGGGTTTTTTTTTTTTGGGTGGTGGTGACCTATATTCTGCTCTACCACTGGTGGCGGTGTGGAGGGGAAGGCTTTATAGGTTAGACGTGAGAGGGCAGAAAGGGTTTTGGGTGACGGGAGATCATACAGTTTTTACCGCTTTCTTTGGCACACAATAGCCTGCGTCTTCTGGTTAAATTCTGTTATTTTCACATTCTCCATAGTTACCTGTCCATCTCACTTGTTGTAAAGACCGCTACTCGGATTGTTTGGAAAGTTTGTTCATATACAAACGTACTTCAATAAATGGGGACGCCCATACCTTATACCCTGGTTTCGACATCCTCTTTTAAGCGCGTTAAATTCCAGATTCCCCGCACCCACAAGCGACTAAAAGGTGGTTGATAGTCGCTACAGCGAGCAATGCGCTGGTTGCGATGTCTCAGATTTATTTAGTTCTTTCAGGGCCTCCTGAATGAGCGTTAGGAGGGAGATGAGGAGGAAAAGGTTGGATCTCCAGGTTAACTGCAGAATTCAGCTGCTTAATCCATACATCTGATCTCCAGGTGGAGCATTAAGAAGCATGTTAGCCCATAGAGAACAAAACTCTGGACTGAGATGATGGGTTCACCTCCAAAGGAGGCAGAGCTTAATCTTCTCTGCAAAATGGGATTCTACCTTTAAAACCAAACTCTTCCACAAGTCTCAGTGGGATTTAGAGGGAGGCAGAAAATCAGCAGTTTTTAGCTTTGGTTTCCTACCCTGGATGGTCCTCGGTATAAACCCCGGAGCTGATCCCAGGACAGCTCCTGCTGCACATCCAGCGTCACTGCAGCCAATACCTGGAACACAGCAAACATCCCATCACCGCGTGTCCACCGGGACTCTGCGCCTTTAAAGGAGGAAGGTTGAACATCCTGGTGCTACATGAGAAATGAATGAGTGAAGCTTTCAGCCACATCATCTCATTATTGAATCTGCAGCTACACGGAAAAAGATAAGATCTTAGCTGCTTTGCAAGGAGCACGCTGCAAAAGCATGCAATATAAGTCCATCTTTCAGCTCTCCATGTGTCCGCAGAATAAGATGATTTATGTTTAAAATAAAAAAAAACTTTTTGATGTTATTTCAGATGCATAATTCCTAATTTTCTTATTTTAAGGCCAAAACTACTTATTCCATTGATCACCTTATTTACCTGTTCAAATTAAGGAAAAACAGACTGATTTGAAGACATTTTTTTTGTTTTAGATCAGTTTTTGCAGCGGCAGGGCTACCATCACGTACGTTTTACTGCTGGTTTTGTCTGACTTCAGACCAAGCCTTACCTTCTTCCCGTGGGCCTCGCCTCCTTTCTGCTGATGTCCTGATGAGAAACGAGTCTGAGGCAGAGAAAAACACGACTCGTCATATCTGCTTGTTTTAATGCTGCAATAGTTCTGCTCCAACAGCCTTATTTCTTATTTCAACTGTTGCGTACATTAGCTGTGACATATGAGTCAAGATGCTATGACCGAAAAAATTTGATTGACAGATGACATTGATATATGATTGGCTGAATTTAGGTGTTCAGGCTGATGTATAACTAACTGGCCTGCATAAAATAATGAAAAAACCCAGATTATAAGACAGGATTGTTTTTTTCTAAATAGAAATTTTCTAAATTTTGGGACAATATGTCTTATAAAGAGTACATTTATATAAATGTTTAAGCCAGAATGATTTGACATTTAAATATAATTTCCCTATGACTTTGAATTCAGTTGATTCCCTTCTGAGTCCTTTTTTACAAACTTTGCCTCCTAATGAGTGGAGAAGCACCAACCTGGGCGAGTGACGCGCTGCGGCTCCTACTGGGTTCAACAGAAGCCCCGCCCCTTCCTCCATGGCTGGAAGAACACTTGTAGCACCTCCAAGGCTGTGGCAGCTCGGAGCTCTGGCCCCGCCCACAGTCTTTCTGCTGGAGGCACTGCAGGTGGTACAGGTGGCCACAGCTGGAGGAAACAGGAAAATGTGTAAGTGGTGGCAGGTCTATTCATAGGAGTGGTTAACATTAGCAAATGTTGAGCAGAAGGAACGCTGCCTCCTGAGTCCCTTAGCTCCTGTAAATCAGCACCAACGCTCTACATTAGAAACACCTGAGCTCAGGCTAACCTGACCTAATGGAACATAATCCTATCGTGTCAGTGTTGGCATGGTAACCAAAAGTAATTATTGATATATTTTGGACATATCAACCTTTATAAAACAAATATTTATATATATTTTTAAATAAAAATAATCCTTTTATTCGGCTCCACTCTACATGTTCTTTTTGATGGATTATTTATTGGAAAATTTATCATTTTGAAGAAAACGTGGTCAGGACCTTCAAATCAATCCAAATACTTTGTGTTAAACACGGTCTAAATCCAGACACAGAGTATTTATATTATAAAAACACTGTACAGTATTTTATTTGTTTATTTTCTTAACTCTGTCACCGTCCACATTGTGTGACCAGTTCTGTTATAACTGTTTGTTGCAAGTTTGTGCGACAACGGAGGGACATGAGGGCCAAAAAGAGCGGGGATCCAGGTGGAATCCGAGTAGTTTTTCACAATGGTGGTCATTCAAACAAACAACTGGTTTCTGAGTATAAATCAGACTTAATGCGTAGTTGAAAAGCAGTATCTAACTCCCATTTGTTAATTTTCATAGAAATTTTATTTATTATTACTTTTGTCTGATTCAAAATATTTCTGTGACCAATGTTTTTTTTCTTTTATTAAAGGAGGGGGACCAACCAACCTGTTTATATTGACTGAGTAAAACCTCCCAGCTCCCAGCATGGAGGCAGCATTATGGCTGAGGTCTGCGGGTTTTTCCAGAACATCTGTTACCTGAACACAACGATCTCCTCCGTCGCATCCTGCTTCCTCTTGTAGTGCTGCAGGCAGATGTTGCAGCAGTCTTGTCGTGGATGAAGCCCTCTGGTGACGACAGAGCGGAGATGAGCCAAGGACCAGTGGAGGTCGTGGTTCAGCAGACTTGTTGTCGTTTCCAGCAACGTCTGAGAGACAAACAAACATCTTTACTGCTTCTATCTCAAATATCATTATCTTACATATCCAATTAGATTTCTACTTGGCTCTACCTTTCTTATACCTAAACCAAAATGCTTCGGTTATCCTGAGCTATTTTCTGCATTTGTGCTGCTATAGGCTTAGCCCGCTGGAGGACATAGGGACCCTTGTTCATCATTATATCTCTATTCTTCCATTCTGCTGTATTTGTTAGTAGTTCAATCTCTAAACTTACGCTCTCTCTTGAATTGTCTGAATAAAGTGCATTGAGATAGAATGTGTTGTGAATTGGAGCTATAGAATTAAACTGAATTCAATTGAATCGATTTATTTAAGAAGGCTTTAAACTGTTACATTACCTAAGCTTTTTCAAACAAAGGGCTGAACATTTACAAGACAATAAAGCAAAATGATATAGAATGAAACAATTAAGACTAATAGGTAAACAAGAAACAAAGACACTAAAACTAAACTGAAATGAGATGCATAGGATGAGTGGACAAGTGTGTCTCTAACTTAGCTTTGAAACCGTCCATAGATGTCTGCCGAGTGTCTATGGGGAGATATCTTCAGACAGACGGAACACGGAGGAAAAAAAGCTCCGCAACAATTTGGGCTTTAGGAACTGTTTAATGAGGCAGTTATCATGTTTCAAGGCAAATCTTTGGGACAGATGATGTCATTTCTGACATCCAGTGACTATTAGTCTTGTCAGCATTAAGAAGCAGGAGATTATTAGCTAACCAATTCCGAAATAAATTCAGACAGACTTTATTTGTGACTCGTCAGAAAACCTTCCTACGGTTACAGGAATATAGCTGCACCTAATCAGCATGGCAGCAGATGGTTACATGAAACCTAATGGGAATTAACCTGACTCCGCCAGATGGATTTGCTCCACATATCCATCTGGAAACCTTCCGTTGAAGTAATTTTGGGAAGGGGCGAAAATACTGGTTAGCTGATTGGCCTATGTTGGTGATAGACGGGCCAAATAAACCAATCAGATCAACGAAGCATATGACATACTAACAGAGCGAAGACGAAGAGGAGCCAATTGATAGATCAAACTCTTGCTGAAACCAGTCGGGAGAAGAGCAAAAACATCTTTTCCTCTGAGGAAAGCCTCCAGAGCAGTGTTTGCTCTTCTTTCAGTGAAGAAATACTCTGTAATTCCTATAAAACTCCGATATCCACGCTAACGCTAGTTTCATCGGCTGAAGCCGCCATGTTCTTTAGACTGAACTGTCGCGCTTCTTGTTGCGTCACACCTCAACCCGCCTCAAAGCCAACGCTGATTGGACGTTCGTTTGGTGAACGGCACCAAATTTTCTTTAACGTAAAGTAGCCAGACTGATCTGCGAGTGAAACCTTGAAAGCTCGCGAGATCAGGATGGTCTCACCAGGCTAAACGTGAATAAACTGCCAGTTAGTTTGTGGAAATCTGCTCTCTTTTTCCCCAGTTTCGACCGACAAAAGTGTATGTATCTCTGGTAGATTTATTTCATTTTAAGGCTTATTTTTTTCATACTTTTTCATATGTATGTTTTAAATGTTTTTATTTGAGGGTTGAGAGAAAGGAAATTTCTGTTTTGTGTATGTATACACATGGCTGACATGAAAATAAAGTTACTTTGGCTTGAAAAGACCGAGAGGCAGAAGGTGGACAGAAAAAAAGCAATGGGGCCGGGAGCAGACCCCTGGGGGACCCCATGCCTCGTGGAACAGGTCTCTGAGTGATCACTTTTACAAACTAACATTCTGAGATCTCCCTTGTAGGCAGGATCTACAGCCATGGGAGTACGTTCCCTATCTAATTAAGAGCTAAACTCAAAGATCATCTGACTGAACCCAAATTGCCCTTCTCCAAATAAGGATTTTATCCATTAAGACATACAGGTGCTGGTCATAAAATTAGAATATCATGAAAAAGTAGATTGATTTCAGTAATTCCATTTAAAAAGTGAAACTTGTATATTATATTCATACATTACATACAAACTCATATATTTCAGATGTTTATTTTGTTTAATTTTGATGATTACAAATGACAACAAATGAAAATCTCAAATTCATCATATCAGAAAATTAGAATATTGTGAAAAGGTTCAAAATTGATGGCCCCTGGTGCCACACTCTAATCAGCTAATTAACTCAAACCACCTGCAAAAGCCTTTAAATGGTCTTTCAGTCTAGTTCTATAGGCTACACAATCATGGGGAAGACTGCTGACTTGACAGTTGTCCAAAAGACGACCATCGACACCTTGCACAAGGAGGGCAAGACACAAAAGGTCATCGCTAAAGAGGCTGGCTGTTCACAGAGCTCAGTGTCCAAGCACATTAATAGAGAGGCGAAGGGAAGGAAAAGATGTGGTCGAAAAAAGTGTACAAGCAAGAGAGATAACCGCACCCTGGAGAGGATTGTGAAACAAAACCCATTCAAAAATGTGGGGGAGATTCACAAAGAGTGGACTGCAGCTAGAGTGAGTGCTTCAAGAACCACCACACACAGACGTATGAAAGACATGGGTTTCTGCTGTCGCATTCCTTGTGTCAAGCCACTCTTGAACCACAGACGCGTCTAAAGAGAACAGGACTGGACTGCTGGTGAGTGGTCCAAAGTCATGTTCTCTGATGAAAGTAAATTTTGCATTTCCTTTGGAAATCAAGGTCCCAGAGTCTGGAGGAAAAGAAGAGAGGCACTTCATCCACGTTGCTTGAAGTCCAGTGTAAAGTTTCCACAGTCAGTGATGGTTTGGGGTGCCATGTCATCTGCTGGTGTTGGTCCATTGTGTTTTCTGAGGTCCAGGGTCAACGCAGCCACATACCAGGAAGTTTTAGAGCACTTCATGCTTCCTGCAGCTGACCAACTTTTTGGAGATGCAGATTTCATTTTCCAACAGGAATTGGCACCTGCACACAGTGCCAAAGCTACCAGTACCTGGTTGAAGGACCATGGTATCCCTGTTCTTAATTGGCCAGCAAACTCTCCTGACCTTAACCCCATAGAAAATCTATGGGGTATTGTGAAGAAGATGCAATACACCAGACCCAACAATTCAGAAGAGCTAAAAGCCACTATTAGAGCAACCTGGGCTATCATAACACCTGAGCAGTGCCACAGACTGATCGACTCCATGCCACGCCGCATTGCTGCAGTAATACAGGCCAAAGGAGGCCCAACTAAATACTGAGTGCTGTACATGCTCATACTTTTCATGTTCATACTTTTTCAGTTGGCCAACATTTCTATAAATCCTTTGTTTTTATTGGTCTTCAGTAATATTCTAATTTTCTGATATGATGAATTTGAGATTTTCATTTGTTGTCATTTGTAATCATCAAAATTAAACAAAATAAACATCTGAAATATATGAGTTTGTATGTAATGTATGAATATAATATACAAGTTTCACTTTTTAAATGGAATTACTGAAATCAATCTACTTTTTCATGATATTCTAATTTTATGACCAGCACCTGTAAAAGCTCCAAACAAGCTGCCACCTGGGAAGAAAAAAATGACCCCAAACCCTAAAAGCTCAGGCCAACCAAGAAATTTGTGAGAGCTGACATCCGGTCTCCTTTCCAGTTCATGGCCTGTAAAGGGAACCTGTCTATGAAGTCTCACCTGTTCATAGGTAAAGGTGTCCAACATCCCCAGAATGAGCCCCTGAATCTCCGCCAGCTTTCCTCGTCCATAAACGGGGTCCTGATGGAAACAATCCAGCAGTTCGTGTCACATGTTTGAAGCAGATTCACTGGATTTCCTGACAGAAACTCCACCCACAAGAGCTGAAGGGTGGCTAAGACTGGAATCAACATGTGTTTCTGACTAGAATATCTAATTTTCTAAAACAGAATAAGACCAAAGATTCAGAGCGATCTGCCCTCCTGGTGAAAAACTTTTTTTCACCAGCCGAGGTTCTTCTGTAATCAGTAAACTAGCTAACTTGAATAAAAAGCCGGGGCTCATATTTCTATGTGAACAGTTGATCTGTTGGCTGGAGGTGAAGCAACGTTTCTCTGAGGACATTAGGACCCAATATCATCATGGTTGAGGTGCAATAATCATGACCTCAGCTTACCCAACAGAGGAATCGGTTGTTTAAACAGCAACCCAAAGCCACAGATACACACCTGCAGTATGTGCTGAATGATGGCGGGGAGGGAAATAAAGCTGCTCATACAGTTCAGGACCTTCAGGGTCATCTCCTTCAGACCTGCCACAAACACAGACATGTTGTCTCACTAGAACAATAATGACAATAATGACAGGTTGTTCTCAAGAAATAAAACCTAAACATCTAACTCCGTCTGAACGTCCGCGCTGACCTCTAATTCCCTCCATCACTATCTAGAGCTGGGACTATACAGTGAACTTTATAGTGAACTTAATTAAGTGACGGTTCAGATAGATGATCACTGCTTTGTGCTCTCTGTTGATCATGTAACTCCGCCTTTCTTCATCGTCCGCGGGGCGCTGTGACAACAAATCTGATGATACTTTGAGAGCTGAGAGCTCTCCACACAAAGCATGTTGGAACATGGATGGATATTGGATGGATGGATGGATGGATGGATGGATGGATGGATGGATGGATGGATGGATGGATGGATGGATGGATGGATGGATGGATGGATGGATGGATGGAAGTTGGATGGATGGATGGATGGATGGATGATGGATGGATGGATGGATGGATGGATGGATGGATGGATGGATGGATGGATGGATGGATGGATGGATGGATGGATGGACGGATGGATGGATGGATGTTGGATGGACAGATGGATGGATGGATGGATGGATGGATGGATGTTGAATGGATGGAAGGATGTTGGATGGATGGATGGATGGATGGATGGATGGATGGATGGATGGATGGATGATGGATGGAAGGATGGATGGATGTTGGATGGATGGATGGAAGGATGTTGGATGGATGGATGGATGGATGATGGAAGGATGTTGGATGGATGGATGGATGGATGGATGGATGGATGGAAGGATGTTGGATGGATGTTGAATGGATGGAAGGATGGATGGATGGATGGATGATGGATGTTGAATGGATGGAAGGATGGATGGATGTTGGATGGATGGATGGAAGGATGTTGGATGGATGGATGGATGGATGGATGGATGGATGGATGGATGGATGGATGGATGATGGAAGGATGTTGGATGGATGGATGGATGGATGGATGGATGTTGGATGGATGGATGGAAGTTGGATGGATGGATGGATGGATGGATGGATGTTGGATGGATGGATGTTGGATAGATGGATGGAAGGATGTTGGATGGATGGATGGAAGGATGTTGGATGGATGGAAGGATGTTGGATGGATGGATGTTGGATGGATGGTTGGATGATGGATGTTGAATGGATGGATGGATGGATAGATGGATGGATGGATGTTGGATGGATAGATGGATGGATGGATGTTGGATGGATGGATGGATGGATGGATGGATGGATGGATGTTGGATGGATGGATGGATGTTGGATGGATGGATGGATGATGGAAGGATGTTGGATGGATGGATGGATGGATGGAAGGATGTTGGATGGATGGATGGAAGTTGGATGGATGGATGGATGGATGGATGGATGGATGGATGGATGGATGTTGGATGGATGGATGGATGTTGGATAGATGGATGGAAGGATGTTGGATGGATGGATGGAAGGATGTTGGATGGATGGAAGGATGTTAGATGGATGGATGGATGGATGGATGTTGGATGGATGGATGGATGATGGAAGGATGTTGGATGGATGGATGGATGGATGGAAGGATGTTGGATGGATGGATGTAAGTTGGATGGATGAATGGATGGATGGATGGATGGATGGATGGATGGATGTTGGATGGATGGATGGATGTTGGATAGATGGATGGAAGGATGTTGGATGGATGGATGGAAGGATGTTCGATGGATGGAAGGATGTTGGATGGATGGATGGATGTTGGATGGATGGTTGGATGATGGATGTTGAATGGATGGATGGATGGATAGATGGATGGATGGATGTTGGATGGATAGATGGATGGATGGATGTTGGATGGATGGATGGATGGATGGATGGAGTTAGTCACTGGGTCAGGTGACCTCTCCAAGATGGCGGCTGTATCCTACGTGCCCCAGCAGCCAATAGGGGGTCTACTCTTGATTACATTTATGGTTCTGGAGTTTGAAAGTTTAACTTTAAAATATTTTCGAACAACATTGTTGTAACGATACAGTTTAAATTAAAGTAGAAGATTATTATTATACAATTATAAATTATAGGTGTTCTAAAACTTCACCAGTTTTTCTGTCAGGTTTGTGTCGCTGTGAATCAGAAACGTTCTTAACGTAAAGGGTTGCTTCCTGGTTGCATGTTTACCATCTGAGACGTGTTTATCCTTGAGTCCCATCACTTCCTTCTGTGAGGCCATCATGGCGTCCAGCAGTGGGAACCACAGGTCCTGTAGGGTGGAGGTAGCATTAGCTGCAGTGATGGAGTTCCCACAGTGAAAACACTCTGCTTACCTTTCCTTGCTCTTGGTCCAGGTTCTGACAGTTCCGATGACAGAAGAGAATCATTTGGTTCAATGAATTCCTGACATTCATCAGTGTTAAATCCAGCTCCTCTTCATCCCGTCTGTCAGCTGCTCCTTCTCCGTCATGGCTCACCTCTGCTGACAGGACATGCAGTCTTTCCTTCAGGGTCTTCAGAGGAGAGAGGAAACATTTAGAGCAGCTATGTCTGAAATAAAAGTCATCAGCTCCTGTATGATCTGTACCTGCAGCAAGCAGGCAAACGCTCCATGGATATCTCCCTTCTTCTCCAGGAGGTAGGCCTTGGCTTCATTACAGCCGTACTTCTGCGTTATCTGGAGACAAAAGCTGTTTCTCAATTCAAAAGAACGCCAGTATGGACTCATGTCCTCGCCAAGTGTGTTCTTTAGAAGAACACAGAAAAGTATGGACTCTGGGAGAACAGGAGCACGCAGCATAAATCTGGGTCAAATGGAACAGATGCGTACTGATGACATCACTACATTCAAAGCTAGTCTGGAACTGCATTTCACCTCCTGTTATTAATAGTCTCTAGATAATAATAAATGTTTACTTTTTGGATTTATTGGGGAATAATTATTAACACAGCCAGATAAACACAAATCAAATTAACATTTTCCAAATAAAACAAAAAACTCGCCATCAGAGCCAGCGGTCCTTCACACACGGCTATGCAGAGAGAGGGCTGCTGCTAATGGGCTAACGTTAGCCCTGGCTGCTGCTGATGGGCTAACGTTAGCCCTGGCTGCTGCTGCTGGGCTAACGTTAGCCCTGGCTGCTGCTGATGGGCCAACGTTAGCCCTGGCTGCTGCTGATGAGCAAACGTTAGCCCTGGCTACTGCTGATGGGCTAACGTTAGCCCTGGCTGCTGCTGATGGGCTAACGTTAGCCCTGGCTGCTGCAGACGGGCTAATGTTAGCCCTGGCTGCTGCTGATGGGCTAACGTTAGCCCTGGCTTCTGCAGACGGCTAATGTTAGCCCAGGCTGCTGCTGATGGGCAAACGTTAGCCCTGGCTGCTGCTGATGGGCAAACGTTAGCCCTGACTGCTGCTGATGAGCTAACGTTAGCCCTGGCTGCTGCTGATGGGCTAACGTTAGCCCTGGCTGCTGCTGATGAGCAAACGTTAGCCCTGGCTGCTGCTGATGGGCTAACGTTAGCCCTGGCTGCTGCTGATGGGCTAACGTTAGCCCTGGCTGCTGCTGATGGGCTGACGTTAGCCCTGGCTGCTGCTGATGGGCTAACGTTAGCCCAGGCTGCTGCTGATGGGCAAACGTTAGCACTGGCTGCTGCTGATGGGCTAACGTTAGCCCCGGCTGCTGCTGATGGGCAAACGTTAGCACTGGCTGCTGCTGATGGGCTAACGTTAGCCCTGGCTGCTGCTGATGGGCTAACGTTAGCCCTGGCTGCTGCTGATGAGCAAACGTTAGCCCTGGCTGCTGCTGATGGGCTAACGTTAGCCCTGGCTGCTGCAGACGGGCTAATGTTAGCCCTGGCTGCTGCTGATGGGCTAACATTAGCCCTGGCTGCTGCTGATGGGCAAACGTTAGCCCAGGCTGCTGCTGATGGGCTAACGTTAGCACTGGCTGCTGCAGACGGGCTAATGTTAGCCCTGGCTGCTGCTGATGGGCTAACGTTAGCCATGGCTGCTGCTGATGGGCAAACGTTAGCACTGGCTGCTGCTGATGGGCTAACATTAGCCCAGGCTGCTGCTGATGGGCTAACGTTAGCACTGGCTGCTGCAGATGGGCTAATGTTAGCCCTGGCTGCTGCTGATGGGCAAACGTTAGCCCAGGCTGCTGCTGATGGGCTAATGTTAGCCCTGGCTGCAATTACCCTCGTAGGTCCGCTGGCTGCTGCAGTCCTCTGAACTTCAGAAATTTATTTTTATACTACACATTAAATCAGTAAATGGGCCATATAGTGACATTTTAACGTTTAAAAGTATAATGTTCTCGCCTCAAATGATCTTAAAACGTACTTTTATTGAGCAAGGGCAACAGAAAAGAGAACTTTTAACTTAATACTCTGAGCTCTGTGAGCGCTCATCTGGAAGCTGCTGCTGCAGCAGTGCATGCTGGGACAGCTGTCAATCTCAAGAACGGACAAGTCTGCTCTGATGCATGCTGGGTAAAGAAGAGGAGGTGAGAACAACATCTGGGGACTTTGTCTGTTCTCAATCTTCCTTGTTCTTGTTAATTGGAACAGTACTAAGGCTGAGGCTGATGATGTTTCACGAGTTTACAAGCACATGAGAATGTGCAAGTACCACTGACCTGTATAGCCTCGTCTAGTCTGTAATGCTGAGATGTTTGCAGGAACTTCAGAAGCTCTTGGGATTCAAACCGGCACATCAGGTCCAGCAGAAGCTCATAGAGTTCAGGGTCAAGAGGCAGAAGGGATGCCGGCTGAGACCCTTCCCTGTAAAGAAGGAGGAGAACACAAAGAGCCACGGGTCCAGGATTAGGAGGAAGGGTTGGGTGAGCAGGGGGGGAGGTGTGTGAGCAGGGGGCAAACCGTACTGAGGCTTCAGAAGGCAGCGGAGAAACTGGAAGAGCAGCTGGTCGTCCTGCAGAGGCAGAAATAAAAGGAGAGGACACAGAGGGACTCAGAGAAGCCCTGGAACAGAAGCCACTCTGTTCTTTCTACAGAACAATCCATTCTATCAGCTTTTTAACTTTTGGAGTTTAACTCCATGACATTTATATATTTTTCATATGCAGCATGTCTGCAGAAGAGATGACAGCTGGCAGGTAGAGTTTATCTCCCCCAAAAAAACTCCTGGATCAGCTTTTCTTATTGGTTGACGCTCTGCGTCCAGCAGGAAAAAGTAAAATTTGTTGAACTCCAGCATTGAGCGCACGGATGCGCCGCTGGACCTCTCGACGCCTTCCCTCATAGACTTTGAATGTAGATCTCACACTTTGACACAACAACGCGCCAGGTCTAAATGCAACTTGAGATGGAGGAACCTGCAGATCTTCTCTGAACGTTTAAGCTGTTAATACAGCAGCAGAACCGCTGAGTTTCAAGAGCGGTTTGGAGACGTTTGGAGAAGTTAAGAGAAGAAAGTTATACTGTTAAAGGAATAGTACACCCAAAACATGATTAGCCTTCATTTTCTACTCACCCCCATGCTGAACAACACTCTGGAGTACTTTTTTGATATCTCAAATGCATCTGGAGATCTGGGAGGCTTCTTGCTGTCTGCTGACATTCAAATAATGGAGGTCTATGGCGCCCGAGGCAGAAAGGTCAATAAAAGTCCACAAAAAACGTGTCAATATTCCTCCATACTGCTCTTCCAATGTATTCCAAGTGTCCTGAGTGGGTAGCATCCAGAATTTACTCGAAACAAAGTAATTTAGAATGTTTTTAGAGCATAAACAGTAGTGTATAGGATTTCCTAAAAGCGCGTTCACGAGTCTACGGAAACCGCGGCAGACCAAACCAGATGAAAGTGCGCATTCAGCTCGGCAAAGAACTCATGCTCTTCCTCAACACTGAAGTCCTCAGACATTTTTCTTTCATTGTTTCTTTCTTTGCACAGGTAAACAGCACATTTCTTCTTCTACGCTTGCATTATCGGCAGAGCAGACGTTGAATGCGCACTTTCATCTGGTTTGGTCTGCCGCGGTTTCCGTAGACTCGTGAACACGCTTTTAGGAAATCCTATACACTACTGTTTATGCTCTAAAAACATTCTAAATGACTTCGTTTCGAGTAAATTCTGGATGCTACCCACTCAGGACATTTGGAATACATTGGACGAGCAGTATGGAGGGATATTGACACGTTTTTTGTGGACTTTTATGGACCTTTCTGTCTCGGGCGCCATAGACCTCCATTATTTGAATGTCAGCAGACAGCAAGAAGCCTCCCAGATCTCCAGATGCATTTGAGATATCAAAAAAGTACTCCAGAGTGTTGTTCAGCATGGGGGTGAGTAGAAAATGAAGGCTAATCATGTTTTGGGTGTACTATTCCTTTAAGTCTATGAGATTAAAGTTGTAACATTACAAAAATGAAGTAATTACGTTATAAGGTATTGTGGAGGATTTTCATGAATTTTTTAAAAGACCCGTACCCTCCACTTTGAAAAACAATGCACGTGCGAGAGCGTGCATGAGTTGAGGTTCTTATTGCTTATACAAGCTTACTATGTCTGAACGTCTGCTCTAACCCCTAAAACCTTCCATCACTATATACAGCGGGGACTATATAGTGGACTTTATAGTGAACTCAGTTAACTGACCATTCAGACAGATGATCACTGCGTCTTGCTCCGTTGGTCACGTAACTCCTCCACTGCACGGTGCCTGCGCCATCTTTGTTTTTAGTTTCTGCTCTGGGTTATAGCTGCCTCTTCTGAGGCCTTTCTTTTCTTCTCATACACTTCGTAGACACTTTTTCTTTCACGAGCCTCGGGCCAATTTCTGAGAACCGCGGTGAGAAAGGTGAGCTTCAATGACTGTCTGAAACCCTAGTTCATCACAGATATACGCCTGAAAGTGCGCATGCGTAGAAAAAGATGGCTAGTGGGACGAGCACATAGGACGGCCTTACATAAACATATCACCAGAATGATTGACAGTTAGGAGGACCACTGATTGAGATGATCCACCCGGAAATAAACGATCGACCTCTATACCTTTAAGATTACATTTCCTACTCTAATGTGAACTCTTCTCAGAAAGCTCAGCCTTCTAGCTGATAACTCCATCAAAGCTTAAAAAAAAAGATTTTTGCCTCACATTAATATCACAATTTTACTCTATTAATGTTATGACTTTTTTCTCATCATGATATGAGTTGAATCTCATCATAAAAAAGTTTTGGCATGGCGCAACTTTAGGTGCAAAGAAAGGCACCTTTTTACTGGTTAGGCTGGGCTCAATATGGGCTCCATTCATGCATCAGAGTCTGTTAAAAGGTTTGGATCTGTTGTTCGGTGTTGATCCAGACTGAGGGGAGAAGGAACCCTGGTCAGATTAAAGCGGACCCAACGTGGTGTGAACTCCACCTTTCCCTGTCATGTCACCGAGTTACTGATTATTCCTCACTGATTTCCCCTCAGACACATATCTTACCGAAGCGGCGGGCTAAAGAATAACGTGTCTAAAATGTGGAAAGAATGAAAAAATGAAGGTGGTGTCTGTGTTGCATAAGGCCTGAAGTGATCCCGATGAATCGGTTTACCTGCAGCGAAGAGATGATGGATTGCACCTCATCGGCGAAGTGCCACGTCACCAGGTCGGCTAACTTAGCAGGACACAGGCTAACCAACTCCTGGAAACACAACAAGCTAATCAGCCTGGATACAAAGAATGACTGCGGATGAAATCATCATCCTTCCAGCTCCACTTAGCCATCTTCCTTTGCTATAATCTGACCACTAACAGCCCAGTTCCTGACCTGCATGTGCTGCAGCACCTTCTGTTTGACCTTTAGCTTCTCTTCAGAGCTGTAGCCTGGCATGGACATCAGGTTGTGGATGTAGCTGAAGATTTCAGACTAAAATAAAAAAAAAAAAGACCATTTACACAATTATAACAGAAAATCGTACATTTTGTTCAAAGATAACTGGGGGAGTTGGGGCAGCTGTTGTCTTCTTCAGACATGGCTGACCCCCACCTAGCTACTGCTGTGCACTGTCTGTCAGCTAGCTGAAAGAAGGCTTCACTGCTTCTCTCCAAGTCGTCCAGAAGGCGGTTTAAAAACTACAACATTCTAGGCTGGGATTGGCAGACAGCTGGCTGTGGGCGGAGCCGATAGCCTGACTTACCAAACAGGCTAACATCCGTTTGTTAGTCTAGAGTACAGCTAGCTCAGTTACTTACAGCTGCTACGTTTAACAGCTGTTAGCATGAGTTGGTGTCAGAATCACAGAAAATGTTGAAGATAACATTTTTGTTATCATCAGGGATCCAGAGGATCTCACTCCCATCAGACCACCGCACTGCTAACCCTGAAGCATCCCCCTTCCGTACCTGACGCAGAGGGTCTCTCAGATAGCAGTCCACGATGCGCTCATACAGATGCTTCTTCTCATACAGGAACTCACAGATCTGGTAGCTGGAGGCAGCAGAGCCATGAAGACACAGTTTCATGTCAGAGAATAGAATTTTGTTATCATGGCGACTCATTTATTACTGTCATGATTAAACAGATAAAAAAAAAGAAAGAAAAAAAAATCTAAAACATTTTCGCCAGGGTTGATATTACATATATAATAACCCATCGTTTAAGGTTTTGGTCAGATCCTGCTACCTGACAGCCCTTTAGACTTATCCATGATGCTGCTTTAACCTTTATGTGGAGGGCAGAAAACGTAAGGTTCTGGTGGAACCCGGATTAACAGAGCGGGTTTCCTACCTTCAATCAGCTGTATAAAAGAACAATTATCATCATCATCATAATCATCATCATGTCTGGACGGTAACTTACAACTTGGCTTTCTCTGCAAGAGTGAAGAGTCTTTCTTCATTGAACTGGACCACCCCCCCAACCTGCAGCAGCTCCAGCAGAACCTAAGAACCACACAAACAGATTCAAGAATCTGCTTCTAAACTCACAGCATCTCAGCACCACTGTTTTACATATGGGGGACGTAAAGAATTGAGTGACTCTGAAGAGAAAAAAAAAAAATGGTCTTGTGGCAACGGTTAGTTTCTCGTGCACACCAGTTAGTTTCTCGTGCACACCAGTTAGTTTCCCATGCACAGAGGTTAGATTCTCATGCGCACCAGTTAGTTTCTGGTGTGCACAGGTTAGATTCTCATGCGCACCAGTTACGTTCTCATGCCCAACAGTTAGTTTCTCATGCGCACAGGTGAGATTCTCGTGTGCACACAGGTATTTTCTCGTGCCACGGGTTAATTTCTCTTACCGACTGATTAATTTTTCGTGCGCAACAGTTAGTTTCTCATGCGCATCGGTTAGCTTCCTGTAAGCACCAGTTATTTTCTCATGCACACCGGCTAGTTTCTCATGCAGTTAGTTTCCCATGTTCACCAGTTAGTTTCCTATGTGCACCAGTTGGTTCCTCATGCACACCAGTTAGTTTCCCGTGCGCACCAGTTGGTTCCTCATGCACACGAGTTAGTTTCCCGTGCGCACCAGTTGGTTCCTCATGCACACCAGTTGGTTCCTCATGCACACCAGTTAGTTCCTCATGCGCACCAGTTAGTTTCCCGTGTGCACCAGTTAGTTTCCCATGCACACCAGTTGGTTCCTCATGCACACCAGTTAGTTCCTCATGCACACCAGTTAGTTTCCTGTGCGCACCAGTTGGTTCCTCATGCACACCAGTTGGTTCCTCATGCACACCAGTTAGTTCCTCATGCGCACCAGTTAGTTTCCCGTGTGCACCAGTTAGTTTCGCATGCGCACCAGTTGGTTCCTCATGCACACCAGTTAGTTTCTCATGCACACCAGTTGGTTCCTCATGCACACCAGTTGGTTCCTCATGCACACCAGTTAGTTCCTCATGCGCACCAGTTAGTTTCCCGTGTGCACCAGTTAGTTTCCCGTGCGCACCAGTTGGTTCCTCATGCACACCAGTTGGTTCCTCATGCACACCAGTTAGTTCCTCATGCGCACCAGTTAGTTTCCCGTGCGCACCAGTTGGTTCCTCATGCACACCAGTTAGTTCCTCATGCGCACCAGTTAGTTTCCCATGCGCACCAGTTGGTTCCTCATGCACACCAGTTAGTTTCTCATGCACACCAGTTGGTTCCTCATGCACACCAGTTAGTTCCTCATGCGCACCAGTTAGTTTCCCATGCGCACCAGTTAATTTCCCGTGTGTACCAGTTAGTTTCCTGTGCACACCATTTAGTTTCTTGTGCGCACCAGTTAGTTTCCCATGTTCACTAGTTAGTTTCCTGTGTGCACCAGTTAGTTTCCTGTGTGCACCAGTTAGTTTCCCATGTTCACCAGTTAGTTTCCTGTGTGCACCAGTTAGTTTCCCATGTTCACCAGTTAGTTTCCTGTGTGCACCAGTTAGTTTCCCATGTTCACTAGTTAGTTTCCTGTGTGCACCAGTTAGTTTCCCATGTTCACCAGTTAGTTTCCTGTGCGCACCAGTTGGTTCCTCATGCACACCAGTTGGTTCCTCATGCACACCAGTTAGTTCCTCATGCGCACCAGTTAGTTTCCCATGCGCACCAGTTGGTTCTTCATGCACACCAGTTAGTTCCTCATTCACACCAGTTAGTTTCCCGTGCGCATCAGTTGGTTCCTCATGCACACCAGTTGGTTCCTCATGCACACCAGTTAGTTCCTCATGCGCACCAGTTAGTTTCCCGTGCGCACCAGTTGGTTCCTCATGCACACCAGTTAGTTTCTCATGCACACCAGTTGGTTCCTCATGCACACCAGTTAGTTTCCCATGCGCACCAGTTAGTTTCCTGTGTGCACCAGTTAGTTTCCCATGTTCACTAGTTAGTTTCCTGTGTGCATCAGTTAGTTTCCCATGTTCACCAGTTAGTTTCCCGTGCGCACCAGTTGGTTCCTCATGCACACCAGTTGGTTCCTCATGCACACCAGTTAGTTCCTCATGCGCACCAGTTAGTTTCCCGTGTGCACCAGTTAGTTTCCCGTGCGCACCAGTTGGTTCCTCATGCACACCAGTTGGTTCCTCATGCCCGTGTGCACCAGTTAGTTTCCTGTGCACACCATTTAGTTTCTTGTGCGCACCAGTTAGTTTACCATGTTCACTAGTTAGTTTCCTGTGTGCACCAGTTAGTTTCCTGTGTGCACCAGTTAGTTTCCCATGTTCACCAGTTAGTTTCCTGTGTGCACCAGTTAGTTTCCCATGTTCACCAGTTAGTTTCCTGTGTGCACCAGTTAGTTTCCCATGTTCACTAGTTAGTTTCCTGTGTGCACCAGTTAGTTTCCCATGTTCACCAGTTAGTTTCCTGTGTGCACCAGTTAGTTTCCCATGTTCACCAGTTAGTTTCCTGTGTGCACCAGTTAGTTTCCCATGTTCACCAGTTAGTTTCCTGTGAGCACCAGTTAGTTTCCCATGTTCACCAGTTAGTTTCCCATGCGCACCAGTTAATTTCCCGTGTGCACCAGTTGGTTCCTCATGCACACCAGTTGGTTCCTCATGCACACCAGTTAGTTCCTCATGCGCACCAGTTAGTTTCCCATGCGCACCAGTTGGTTCCTCATGCACACCAGTTAGTTTCTCATGCACACCAGTTGGTTCCTCATGCACACCAGTTAGTTCCTCATGCGCACCAGTTAGTTTCCCATGCGCACCAGTTAATTTCCCGTGTGCACCAGTTAGTTTCCTGTGCACACCATTTAGTTTCTTGTGCGCACCAGTTAGTTTCCCATGTTCACTAGTTAGTTTCCTGTGTGCACCAGTTAGTTTCCTGTGTGCACCAGTTAGTTTCCCATGTTCACCAGTTAGTTTCCTGTGTGCACCAGTTAGTTTCCCATGTTCACCAGTTAGTTTCCTGTGTGCACCAGTTAGTTTCCCATGTTCACTAGTTAGTTTCCTGTGTGCACCAGTTAGTTTCCCATGTTCACCAGTTAGTTTCCTGTGCGCACCAGTTGGTTCCTCATGCACACCAGTTGGTTCCTCATGCACACCAGTTAGTTCCTCATGCGCACCAGTTAGTTTCCCGTGTGCACCAGTTAGTTTCCCATGCGCACCAGTTGGTTCTTCATGCACACCAGTTAGTTCCTCATTCACACCAGTTAGTTTCCCGTGCGCACCAGTTGGTTCCTCATGCACACCAGTTGGTTCCTCATGCACACCAGTTAGTTCCTCATGCGCACCAGTTAGTTTCCCGTGCGCACCAGTTGGTTCCTCATGCACACCAGTTAGTTTCTCATGCACACCAGTTGGTTCCTCATGCACACCAGTTAGTTTCCCATGCGCACCAGTTAGTTTCCTGTGTGCACCAGTTAGTTTCCCATGTTCACTAGTTAGTTTCCTGTGTGCACCAGTTAGTTTCCCATGTTCACCAGTTAGTTTCCCGTGCGCACCAGTTGGTTCCTCATGCACACCAGTTGGTTCCTCATGCACACCAGTTAGTTCCTCATGCGCACCAGTTAGTTTCCCATGCGCACCAGTTAATTTCCCGTGTGCACCAGTTAGTTTCCTGTGCACACCATTTAGTTTCTTGTGCGCACCAGTTAGTTTCCCATGTTCACTAGTTAGTTTCCTGTGTGCACCAGTTAGTTTCCTGTGTGCACCAGTTAGTTTCCCATGTTCACCAGTTAGTTTCCTGTGTGCACCAGTTAGTTTCCCATGTTCACCAGTTAGTTTCCTGTGTGCACCAGTTAGTTTCCCATGTTCACTAGTTAGTTTCCTGTGTGCACCAGTTAGTTTCCCATGTTCACCAGTTAGTTTCCTGTGTGCACCAGTTAGTTTCCCATGTTCACCAGTTAGTTTCCTGTGTGCACCAGTTAGTTTCCCATGTTCACCAGTTAGTTTCCTGTGTGCACCAGTTAGTTTCCCATGTTCACCAGTTAGTTTCCTGTGTGCACCAGTTAGTTTCCCATGTTCACTAGTTAGTTTCCTGTGTGCACCAGTTAGTTTCCCATGTTCACTAGTTAGTTTCCTGTGTGCACCAGTTAGTTTCCCATGTTCACTAGTTAGTTTCCTGTGTGCACCAGTTAGTTTCCCATGTGCACCAGTTAGTTTCCCGTGTGCACCAGTTAGTTCCTCGTGCGCACCAGTTCCTCGTGCGCACCAGATACTTTCTCGCATGATGCAGGAATATTTTGGTGTTCTTCAAAATGGATGATCGTTAAATAATTAGGCTATATTTTCAGTTTGGGCTGCCATACATTGCTGCATTGCTTGCAAGACGTCACCATTATGTTGTGTCTGAACGTCCCATAAAACGGATCCTGAAGTCCTGTGGTCTATTTGAGCGTTAAGGATAAGCAAACCTTGATTATGTTGTGACCTTTATTCAAACAACTGCAAATGACTGCACAGAGATAGATACAGGTGCTGGTCATAAAATTAGAATATCATGAAAAAGTAGATTGATTTCAGTAATTCCATTTAAAAAGTGAAACTTGTATATTATATTCATACATTACATACAAACTCATATATTTCAGATGTTTATTTTGTTTAATTTTGATGATTACAAATGACAACAAATGAAAATCTCAAATTCATCATATCAGAAAATTAGAATATTACTGAAGACCAATAAAAACAAAGGATTTATAGAAATGTTGGCCAACTGAAAAGTATGAACATGAAAAGTATGAGCATGTACAGCACTCAGTATTTAGTTGGGCCTCCTTTGGCCTGTATTACTGCAGCAATGCGGCGTGGCATGGAGTCGATCAGTCTGTGGCACTGCTCAGGTGTTATGATAGCCCAGGTTGCTCTAATAGTGGCTTTTAGCTCTTCTGAATTGTTGGGTCTGGTGTATTGCATCTTCTTCTTCACAATACCCCATAGATTTTCTATGGGGTTAAGGTCAGGAGAGTTTGCTGGCCAATTAAGAACAGGGATACCATGGTCCTTCAACCAGGTACTGGTAGCTTTGGCACTGTGTGCAGGTGCCAAGTCCTGTTGGAAAATGAAATCTGCATCTCCAAAAAGTTGGTCAGCTGCAGGAAGCATGAAGTGCTCTAAAACTTCCTGGTATGTGGCTGCGTTGACCCTGGACCTCAGAAAACACAATGGACCAACACCAGCAGATGACATGGCACCCCAAACCATCACTGACTGTGGAAACTTTACACTGGACTTCAAGCAACGTGGATGAAGTGCCTCTCTTCTTTTCCTCCAGACTCTGGGACCTTGATTTCCAAAGGAAATGCAAAATTTACTTTCATCAGAGAACATGACTTTGGACCACTCACCAGCAGTCCAGTCCTGTTTCTCTTTAGCCCAGGCAAGACGCTTCTGACGCTGTCTGTGGTTCAAGAGTGGCTTGACACAAGGAATGCGACAGCAGAAACCCATGTCTTTCATACGTCTGTGTGTGGTGGTTCTTGAAGCACTCACTCCAGCTGCAGTCCACTCTTTGTGAATCTCCCCCACATTTTTGAATGGGTTTTGTTTCACAATCCTCTCCAGGGTGTGGTTATCTCTCTTGCTTGTACACTTTTTTCGACCACATCTTTTCCTTCCCTTCGCCTCTCTATTAATGTGCTTGGACACTGAGCTCTGTGAACAGCCAGCCTCTTTAGCGATGACCTTTTGTGTCTTGCCCTCCTTGTGCAAGGTGTCGATGGTCGTCTTTTGGACAACTGTCAAGTCAGCAGTCTTCCCCATGATTGTGTAGCCTATAGAACTAGACTGAAAGACCATTTAAAGGCTTTTGCAAGTGGTTTGAGTTAATTAGCTGATTAGAGTGTGGCACCAGGGGCCATCAATTTTGAACCTTTTCACAATATTCTAATTTTCTGATATGATGAATTTGAGATTTTCATTTGTTGTCATTTGTAATCATCAAAATTAAACAAAATAAACATCTGAAATATATGAGTTTGTATGTAATGTATGAATATAATATACAAGTTTCACTTTTTAAATGGAATTACTGAAATCAATCTACTTTTTCATGATATTCTAATTTTATGACCAGCACCTGTAGATGTTTTTAAAATGTCTGGAAAATGAAGAGTTCCTTCTGATATGACAAAGTATTTGGTGCGCATGAGAAACTATGGCTACGTTCACACTGCAGGCCTTAATGCTCAATTCCGATTTTTTTGTGAAATCTGATTTTTTTGCATGTCCGTTCACACTTCCAAGTATATGCGACTTGTATGTGATCTACTGTGTGAACTGAAAGCGTTCAACCGAAGTGTCCCGCATGCGCACTCGAGGACGCGATGACGTCACATGTAGCAAGCGTCCTCAGTGTTTGCGGAAGTAAACATGACTCGTAATACCGCAGCGTATATTGCGTTCTTTAAGTTCTTCTCCAACAGGAGCAGGCACATTACGAATGAAATCTTTTTAAGAAGATCAAAAAGAAAGAGAGCCAGATTTCTTGCAATGGCGTTTTGTGGGGCAGTAATAGCAACGTCCGTACAGAGCTCTCACTGAGCTCTCTATTGACTGCTCTCTGTGTTATCTTCCGCCATGGTTGTTAGTTTTTCCCACCTCCGCTTAGTAGGACGCAGATTAGTAAGGTTTAGTAACATTTGTCAAGTATCAATGACGTGTAGGTCGGATGAATGCGACCTGGCCGTACAGACACAGGTCGCATTTGAAAAGATCAGATACGTATCGGATTCAGGACCACATATCCAAGTGGCCTGGGTTGCATTTGAAAAAATCCGATCTGTGTCGTTCAGACTGTCATAAAAAGATCAGATACAGGTCACATATGGGCAGCCTATAACTGGTGCGCACAAGAAAGTTTTTTTTTTTCTTTTCTTCAGTGTCCCTTTAGGAGCTCAGTAGAACCGATCTAACCTGCTGCTAAAAGAGAAACAGATCTCACAGCAGCAGCACACTGTCTGACGCTCATAAACTTTATATGAACATCAATGCTTAATAAGGGCCGATAAACGGCGACCACACCAGAACTCCCCTGACCTTAACAATCTGAGATGAAGATCAGCTTCTGTGTTTACATGTACCTGCTGCCTTTCGGTGTGACGAGAATCATCATCTGGACAACAGAGGAACTCCAGGACCTGAGAGAGGGAGAGAGAGGAGGAATCCACACATTCAATCTTTACATCTTTATTGATTCCAGTCTGTTGCACAAACATCATGACCCCAAATATTTAATAAAAGTTTGAATAATATTGCATTTAGCTTGGTTGGTTGTTTTTCCCAAAGGAACAGAGAAGCTGACCTAAAATTGTTAAAGTATTGTTCTTTTTTGATCATGTTTTTTTGCAGCATAAAACTGGGGCGATCCAAAAATCATCTGTGGTCAGATGGACGCCTTCCTTCCCTACGTGTCTCAGTCCAGAAGCCTGTTACCAGCTGCTGGTTGCATTCCGTCTGTTGGCTGAGGTCAATAAGACCAAAGGGACTGAAGTGAGTAAAACTATGAGAGATGCTTTAAATAACCTCTATGTCTTCCTGTCTGTTCCTACTGTAGACGAAGGTTTCACCAGAACAACTTCATCAACAGAAGCTTCCATCTGATCCTGAGTCCAGCCTGCTGCTAACACCAGGACATCATCATATCCGTCTATTCTTGTTTCAGTCTGAAAATCACTTTCAATTCCATTTCCATTTAGTTTTTTTAAACGTAAACATGAAACAGCTGAAGAGTAGGTAGAAACTTTCCGCCCTAAGCATTTCAGGCTAATGTTAGCACGATGACAGCAAGTCGGGCTAATGTTAGCGCAATGACAGCAAGGCGGATTAATGTTAGCATTGATGACAGCAAGTCGGGCTAATGTTAGCGCAATGACAGCAAGACGGATTAATGTTAGCGCAATGACAGCAAGACGGATTAATGTTAGCACGATGACAGCAAGTCGGGCTAATGTTAGCGCAATGACAGCAAGGCGGATTAATGTTAACGTTGGTGACAGCAAGGCGGGCTAATGTTAGCACAAGGACTGCAAGGCGGATTAATGTTAGCATGATGATAGTAAGGCAGGCTAATGTTATCACAGTGACAGCAAGTTGGGCTAATGTTAGCATGATGACAGCAAGTCAGGCTAATGTTAGCGCAATGACAGCAAGGTGGACTAATGTTAGCATTGATGACAACAAGGCGGATTAATGTTAGCACGATGACAGCAAGGCGGATTATTGTTAGAGGTGATGACGGCAAGGCGGGCTAATGTTAGCACAATGACAGCAAGGTGGATTAATGTTAGCGTTGATAACAGCAAGGCGGGCTAATGTTAGCGCAATGACAGCAAGGCGGATTAATGTTAGCGGTGATGACGGCAAGGCGGGGTAATGTTAGCACAATGACAGCAAGGCGGATTAATGTTAGCGCTGATGACAGCAAGCGGGCTAATGTTAGCGCAATGACAGCAAGGCGGAATAATGTTAACGTTGGTGACAGCAAGCGGGCTAATGTTAGCATGATGATAGTAAGGCAGGCTAATGTTAGCACAGTGACATCAAGTTGGGCTAATGTTAGCATGATGACAGCAAGTCGGGCTAATGTTAGCGCAATGACAGCAAGGTGGACTAATGTTAGCATTGATGACAGCAAGGCAGATTAATGTTAGCACGATAACAGCAAGGCGGATTAATGTTAGCACAATGACAGCAAGGCAGATTAATGTTAGCATTGATGACAGCAAGGCGGGCTAATGTTAGCACAATGACATCAAGGCGGTATAATGTTCGCGTTGATGACAGCAAGGTGGGCTTATGTTAGCACAAGGACTGCAAGGCTGGCTAATGTTAGCATCTTGATAGTAGGCAGGCTAATGTTAGTGCAACGACAGCAAGGCGAGTTAATGTTAGCACAAGGACTGCAAGGCGGATTAATGTTAGCATGATGATAGTAAGGCAGGCTAATGTTATCACAGTGACAGCAAGTTGGGCTAATGTTAGCATGATGACAGCAAGTCAGGCTAATGTTAGCGCAATGACAGCAAGGTGGACTAATGTTAGCATTGATGACAACAAGGCGGATTAATGTTAGCACGATGACAGCAAGGCGGATTAATGTTAGCGGTGATGACGGCAAGGCGGGCTAATGTCAGCACAATGACAGCAAGGCGGATTAATGTTAGCGTTGATAACAGCAAGGCGGGCTAATGTTAGCACGATGACAGCAAGTTGGGCTAATGTTAATGCAATGACAGCAAGGCGGATTAATGTTAGCGTTGATGACAGCAAGGCGGGCTAATGTTAGCGCAATGACAGCAAGGCGGATTAATGTTAGCGGTGATGACGGCAAGGCGGGCTAATGTTAGCACAATGACAGCAAGGCGGATTAATGTTAGCGCTGATGACAGCAAGCGGGCTAATGTTAGCGCAATGACAGCAAGGCGGAATAATGTTAACGTTGGTGACAGCAAGCGGGCTAATGTTAGCATGATGATAGTAAGGCAGGCTAATGTTAGCACAGTGACAGCAAGTTGGGCTAATGTTAGCATGATGACAGCAAGTCGGGCTAATGTTAGCGCAATGACAGCAAGGTGGACTAATGTTAGCATTGATGACAGCAAGGCAGATTAATGTTAGCACGATAACAGCAAGGCGGATTAATGTTAGCACAATGACAGCAAGGCAGATTAATGTTAGCGTTGATGACAGCAAGGCGGGCTAATGTTAGCACAATGACATCAAGGCGGTATAATGTTCACGTTGATGACAGCAAGGTGGGCTTATGTTAGCACAAGGACTGCAAGGCTGGCTAATGTTAGCATCTTGATAGTAGGCAGGCTAATGTTAGTGCAACGACAGCAAGGCGAGTTAATGTTAGCATGATGACAGCAAGGCAGGCTAATGTTAGCATGCTGAAAGCAAGGTGGGCAGATGTTAGCATTATGACAGCAAGGCAGGCTAATGTTAGCATGATGACAGCATAGTGAGCTGATGATAGCATGATGACGCAAGGCGGGCGGATGTTAGCATGATGACAGCAGGGTGGGCTGATGTTAGCATGATGACGCAAGGCGGGTTAATGTTAGCATGATGACAGCAGGGTGGGCTGATGTTAGCATGATGATGCAAGGCGGGTTAATGTTAGCATGATGATAGCATCGTGAGCGGATGTTAGCATGATGACAGCAAGGCAGGCCAATATTAGTATGATAATAGCATGGTGAGCTGATGTTAGCATGATGACGCAAGGCGGGTTAATGTTAGCATGATGATAGCATGGTGAGCTGATGTTAGCATGATGAAAGCAAGGTGGGCTGATGTTAACAAGATGTTAGCATGATGATAGAGGTGCATTATAGTACTGTGTAATGTTGCTCCTGAAGGCTCACACTGAAATAAATGGTGTCATCTGTACTTAACAGATTGATCAATGATATAGAATATAAAGTTTGGGGCTGAGCAGCGAGCCCTGCATAACATACAAAGGTTATATAAAGAGACGTATAGATACCCATTTGTAGATGCTGCTAAAAAACGACTTTCTAAGTTATTTTCCAGGTGGATGTGTCTGATTTCTGGCCTTGTGTTTGAATCTCAGCCCTTTCTTTTACGGACTGAATTCTGGTTTAGTTTCTGTGATGATGTCGATAACCTCCGCCGCTTTTAAAAAAATCCTCATCTAATTTTGAACCCATCAACCTGCCAGACTGATAACTGAATACAGGAGGTTCTCAGCAGACTGTAGCACATGAAAGGGTTTAAATACAACTGTCATCCTGAAAGAAACTCTGACAATGAACTAAATAAGAGCTTTTCCTGCAGTCAAAGGTGCTATTCTGAAAGAGTGCATCTTTGTATACCTGATCGAAAAGGTTCCTGTTCACAAACAGTGTGTTGTTTGGTTTGGCCAGCTGGCGAGCCAAGAAGGTGAAGAGACCGCCAACCTGGGAGGGAGTGAAGTCAGGGTTGTCCACCATCACCTTCAATATAAAAAAAAAGATTCATATTTTGATTGAGAAAAAACGCATAAAGATCATTTTAAGTCTCAGCAGAAAGACATAATGATTTATTTATTTATTTCACTCCTCAACCTGCTGGCCAACTCTTATGAAACAATGTTCTTCAAAGTGAGACATCCTGTTAATGTCAACTTATTCATTAATTATATAGTCTTTATCAAGAAGCGACGGCTGACACAAACAGGTCCTTATGGTTCATTAAAACCCACAAATAATCCACCATTATCACTGGCTAACAATCAAACACATCTTTTGGCAATAAAGCTTGCAGCACCTGATCACAAAGCAACTTCCTTTCTTTATCATCTGAGGTAAAAAGTGCTCATGAGTCCAAGTAAAGCATGGAGGCTTTAATTTTTAAGACTAGAATCACAGTCTTCTATTGCTTTCCTTGGTCCTACCTGCCTCTAAAGAAATTGAAGCAATACTGGTTGTTTTCATAGCTGTTCACTCAAACCTTTCCTCAAGAATAAAACCAACCGGCAGGTTGGAAAGGTTTTGGTTGTGATTTTACCTGAAGTAAAATGTCCACGATCCTCTGCTGGTACTCCAAGGCCTGCTTGTCGTTCTGGACGTCATCAAACGTCTGCAGAAAGAATCAGAATCAACTTTGTTTCAGGCAACTGTTCAACCTGCAGTTCAAACAGCAGACAGTTTGTAAAAGTTTTGCTTTAAAGAGATAACAACACAGGATATGGAAGTCTATTCACAGGATATAGAAGTCTATTCATGTGTCAGAGCTGTAAATAAAACACAGAGGAAGGTGAGTTAGGATCGGACAAAAGGCCTGAATTTTTCTGACAATTCTACCTTGATTTAGACATAAAAAACTTAATTATTAAAAAGAAATATTTAAAAATATATTCATATAATTTTTAGATGTGCAAGATAAATATCGAATCTTTAATGACGAGTAAAGCTGTTTCATTTGTCGTCGGGTTGGTGACATATTTCCATAAATCTTCCCCCATAGACTCTGGTTAAAAGTGGTCCATGCGCAGTAGCTCCTCTTCGATGCTAAAGAAAGGAGCATCTTGGGGAGTATGGAAGCAGTCACAGCGCTGACATCACAGTCGTCTATTAGAAAGTGCGACTGATTTACAGGTTTTAAATTATTTAGCTACAAGGCTTGGGTAACTGCATGCAGCGAGGCTAAGGCTTTATTCTGCTTTCACTGCCTCTTTTTTCAAATGTCAGGATCTGACCCAGCATGAATAAAGACAGCTATGACTGATTTAAGGCATTTTGTAGAACATTTTAAAATGTTGTTTTTTTGTTTTTGGCATTTGTGTAAATATACTGGTGTGATACGTTAGTATAAATTTGATTGGTTGTTTGATATGTCTATTTTAAAGTTATGGAGCAAACTCCACCATCTGCTGCTGCTCAACAGTTCAGTGTTGATGCATCTATAAACCTGGAGTTAGTTTCTAGCCGATTTTCCCTGACTATGCGTTGGGTTAGAAGTTCCCGCTTTGTTCTGATCTGAGAGCTGGCAGGAAGACACAGCGCTGCTGATGCAGGGCGCTATGACCACTCCTCTGAAACTGTTTATTAACGCCTAAATTAACTTAAAATGTAGAATCCTGCAGGCAAAATATGTTCAATTTTATAATCCTGGTGCCTGAAGTTTGTACCACGTACCTGAAAAACTCTAACTTTTACTTTCAGCCGCCACAAACAGAAGGGGAAAACCCCCAAGAGGCGACCGGGTAAAAGGCAGCTGCTGCTGGGGATGTGGGGGTCTAAACTGCACCCACAGAGAAATAATATCTAAAGACAGGATGGTAATCTGGATGAACTGACTGCACTGATGATGTTTTCAGGTGGACTTTCTCACTTCAAAATATATTCAAACTACTTTTTACCCACTGATCACAGCTAGTAAATATTTTGGTTGAATGTATTTGGTTTTCAAGTCGAGCTTTGTCATATTCTATTTTTTTATCTTATCTTTACCACTTCTGTCAGTGAGCCCCAGGCCAGCTGTGGCTACAATGTAGCTTGCCACCATCAGTGTGTGAATGGGTGAATGAATGTAGTGTAAAGCGCTTTGGTCAAGTCTTCTGAATTGAAAAAAAAGGCGCTATATAAGTACAGGCCATTTTCTATTTACCATTTACCTTTTACATATCTCGATTTTATATTTAGTTAAAATGTGTTTTCCTTTGTGCAGCACCATGTGGTTTCATCTGTGAAAGGTGCTCTATGAATAAAGTTTCTTCTTCCTCTTACTGTATTAAAAACAAGAATTATTCATCATTATAACCTGTTTTAAAATAACTCACCATAGCCAAGACATTGAGAAATTCCCGAGTATCAAAATGGAGGAGAGTGTGAATAAACGGGAAAACCTCCTCCTTCTGAGAAGAGTCGCCTGAATGAAGACGAATCAGGAACTCAAACACCTGACAGAGAAACAAACACAGAAAGAACTTCATGAAAATCTGGTTATTTGGATAGATGCACACAGGATGATGAAGAAAGTTTGAAGAAAGTCTCCAGATGTTTTCCTGTAAAACTAAACTTTTCTCTGATCCTGGGTGTCATTCTGTGAGGCTCTTATAGCTCCTGTATTCATCTATAAGGACTTTGAAAAGTCGTTTATAATCAACCAAAAGGGATTCGAAGGTGAATAACAAATAAAACAGAAAATAATAAAATAATAACTATAACAAAATAGCTAAAAAATGTCTTACAAAGACAATAACAGCAATAATGGACTGTTACATCTTCCAAGGACATTGACCCTGGGAACAGAGCTTCATGGACTTACTTTGCAAACACTGAGGCTCAGATATAACACACGCATCTCTCATCTTTTTCGACTGATTACCTGCAAGATGTCATGTCGTTTCTGTGTTTTCTTATGTGCTGGGGTTTTTACAGTCTCAAACTGTATCCTGCTATGTATAAAGTTTGAAATATGATTTTTTTTCCCCCTGACCTATCGTGATCGCTTTCTTTTGTTTTTCTTAACACAAGGGCAGCGCCTTTTATGGCAGCAAGGCCTCGGATACAGCTTCCCTCCATGTAGAATGTTTTTGTCTCTTGGATGGGCTGTACCGAAACAAAATTTTCCTTCGGGGATTAATAAAGTATAATTGAATTAAATTGAACAAAATATATTAGAAGAAACAAGGACTGGCCCATTTAAAAAGATCCGTTTTAAAGTCGTAGGGAAGCGGCTGTTCCAACCGTTGCATTTCTGAATTCTCCCGAGTGGTGCATGACTTTACACGAGTGAATAAAGTGAATGTGATTGGTTGTTTATCAAGGGGCCGGGATTGTTGTGGCGGAAGGTTCGCAAGCATGTTTGATTGTGGCCGGTTTGTCTGAAGCATCTTGCTAACCAGTTAGCAACTTAGTGCTAGTAGGTTCCCAATGGGAAATTCCATTGAAACCAAGTAGCACTAAATTGGTGACTTAGAAACGACACTGTCAAGGAACGCTATGGACAGAGGAAACATGCAAGAGGAGGAGAGTTTAGTGTGGGAGGTCGTGGATGAGTCTCCTCCGTCATCCATTTTTTATTTAGAGGAGGAAAGCGGGGACGTAGATGTTGTGGAAGAGGACGCCAGGGCGGCAGAAGCTTGGTTTGGTGTAGAAGGCTTCCAGCCGTACATGTTTGAGCCCTTGCCTCGAAACACTGCCAGTTCTGTTAGCTCTACGCCTGCTGAAGACACAGACGTCCATCCCCGTGAACACTGGGACGGAACTCAATGGGAAAGGAAATGATTCTGATTTCAATTATTGCGTATATTAGCTGCAACATATGAATCGAGATGCTATGACCGAAAAAAATTTGATTGACAGATGACTGTTGATATATGATTGGCCGAATGTAGGTGTTCAGGCTGACGTATAACTAACTGGCCTGCAGAAGATAATGAAAAAACAACCCACAAATTTTTAGACAGGGTTTTTTTTTTAAATAGAAACTTTCTACATTTTGGGACAATATCGTCTAATAAAGAGTACATTTATATACATGTTTAAGCCAGAATGATTTGACATTAAAATATGATTTCTAAACGACTTTAAAATGAGCTAAAGATCCAATAGATCCAGCTGATCCTTAGAGCCACAGCTGAAAAATGTCTGGAGCAGGAGGCTACTGTAGCCTAAAAACCAATGTCTAAATGACATCTGGTGTTTGGTTGGTAGAAATGTAAGTAGAGCTATAGAGGCTGAAAGCTGTCCCATCATCTGGACAGAAAAATGATGATTGTGTCTTTAATACCAGCAAGACTTAAAGGAAACTTACCTTTATTGATTAGCTTAATATACAAATGGCATCCATTACCAGTCTGGTTCTAATCACAGTTCAGTTAAACTATTTAACTCTACAGGACAGACGAAGGTCCAGTTCAGTACCATGGAATAATGATGTGGATCTTATCTGTTATCTGAGGTGATCTGGACAGATCCACTCACTCTTTTCATCTGGACCTGAACAGAAAAGTGACCTGATGGAGTTCCTTACCTGGTTCTTCACCTGAACAACCAGATCTTCAGGGATGTCTCCGATTGGATACGCCCTTCCAGCCAGACAGCAGCTGCATCCAGAAATATGAGCAGAGAGATGTTTATCGATCAGGATACTAAATGTGACCAACATCACAGCACATTGAGGCATCTAAGCTCTTAGACTTCTGCATCAGGAGGAGTTACCTGATGTAAACCAGTAGTTTATTCCCCATCACCACATCATCGCCTGCAGCAAAAGAATAAACCGTTTTCAATTTCTATTTGGGGCTAAATATTTACCAGAAAAAAGACCCAGGCTTCAGTGCGGATGTGCTGCCCGACCTCACCTGTTAGGCTCCTCCCCTCTTTGACTCTAGGACCAATCACTGAAAAGAGTTTCTGAAACACGAAACAAACACTTCAGGACATACGGCATTTTATTCCCTAAAATAAAAGGGTGAGGCTGAAGGTGCAGATGTAAGAGAAGAAGGCAGTAATGTGAGGAAAGTTAAACTGCAAAAACTGAAAGTAAGTTTATTTTCCTTAAATAAGAGGAGTTTTTCTTGAACTAATAAGTTAAGTGATACACTTTGCCAATGGATTAAGGCAAGTTACATTTAAAATAAGAAAAAAGCAACTGTAGTCTCTTATTTTAAGTGCATAATATACAAATATCTAATGTTATACCTATTTTAAGAGTAAAACTGCTCATTCCATTAGCAGATTATCTTATGTACCTGCTCAAATTAAGGGTAAAAACACTTAATTTATGACATTTTTTAGAACTTTTTTGTAGTGTATAACAAACTTTAAAGTACCATTGATTACTCAGCATTTACAAACTTTTAATTACCTCCATTGGAGTGATGTAGTCGTTCATTCCTCGGTTGAAAATATAGATCACGGCATCATAGAGCTGGTTGTCCCAACAGACCTGGACCACCTTAAATCATGAACCAACACACAAAGAGAACAGCTCCAGTAAATAGTCAGTGTCTGTAACTAACAGAGGTGTCAAGAAACAAAGTACAAATACTTCAACAAGTACACATGTTGGCTATCTGTACTTTACTGGAGTAATTACTTTTTATTTCTACTCCTTACATTTTAAACATAGACTCATTAGTTTAATGTCATTTAAGCTCATGTTCATTATGGCCTGTTGGTATAAAAAAAATAAATAAATAAAAATAAAAACCATCAAATAATTAGTTTAATCCTGTCAATTCATTACTTTGTGGTTGGACTGGGTGCTGCCCCAAATTGTTGTTCACCTCATACCAAAATAAATAGTTTTTCAAGATGATGCAAAATTAAATTTGACATAGTTACCATTAGTTATAAAACTAAGAAAATGAAGTTTAAGGAAGTTATCATCAAGAATTGTAGAAAAATCGTCCTTCTACCAATTAAAGGAGACTCATTGAAATACTTTGAAAATCTAAATTTCCAGCCAAGTGTGTTATTGGAGGACAGGACAAGACCTTATTACTTTTGTAACGTTCAAGATGGTATATTTTGACGGCAAAAATGAAGGTCAATTAAATAAAAAATGGCCACTTGCCAAATATATATTAAAAAAAAAACTCAAGTGACAAAAATGGTAACCTTTCCTATAAAGGGTTAATAGGCGAGTGCAGAAAAGCTTCTGCCCTTAACATTTTTTCCTGCATTACTTTTATTTTTTATATTTTAAGTAGTTTTAAAAATGGTAATTTTACACTTTTACTGGAGGAAAAAGCTGAAGTTGATCCTCTAACTCAGATGTCAAGGATTAGCGTAACGTGGAGCGGATCCGGACCCAACCTGATTTAAAACATTTATAAATTACTGCATGTTGTTCGACTAGAGTGTCTAATATCACTTGCGCTGCTTCTCCTGTTAATACGGTGAAGCCCTCTAGAGCGTCCGGCTCCAGGCTACATGTGATAAAAATCATCCAATAAGCTGCTGTCAGTCTGGGTTGCTGCTGCTGCTACTTTTAGACACAGCAGGCAAACCTGTGGCAAGCCGGGCGATGGGAAAGAAGGAGAAGATGATGAGAAAAAGAGAGCAGAGAAAGTGTGGACTGCTGGAAGAACTGTGGTGAACTGGTGAAAGAAAAGTGAAATGGTGCTCAAAGATGATCCTGAACATTTAGAGGATGTTTGGCTCAACCTGCTGCTGTGAAGCAGGATTCTCCACCATGAACAGAATCAACAATAAATATGGATCCAGGCTCAGAATGAGCTCCTTGATATGTGCTTTAGAATGGCTTAGTCTCCATTCAAACCAGGTTTAAAGCCTTGCAGGGCAGCATAAAGCCCACTGCCAACATTAAGGCAGAAAAAAGAAAGAAAATAACAAACAGTCAGTTCAGGTCTTTTTTAAAATATGTGAATCAGGAAATTGATTGTTGATCTCTACTTCAAAAAATACTTTAGATTTTAAAAATGGAAAAATTTTCTTTTGTTCATTTTTTTTAATTCAATGTATAACATGGATGCATAAAAACCTGCTTTTTATTTCGGTGTTAAATTCTGTTAAAAGTAACAGATTATAATTAAAAATGTCTCCGGACCTTTACTGGTCGATGATTTTCTTTATTCGAACCCTGCTGATTTTTAATTGGTTACCCCTGGTTTAACTTCTACAAAAGTGTTTATTATTTATTAGTATTTATACTTCTACTGGAGTAATAAACATTAATACTTTGGAAAGCTCAGCTAACTAATGCACCCTGAGCCCTCCCGTACTCTACCTGCTGTATGTCCAGGCTGGTCACGTCCAGGTGGACGATGCATCTCTCCAGGCTGTCCATCATGCCGTTATCGTGGTAGTGGGCTAAGAGGTCCTTCATTACAGGCGTGGTGATGTGACCGAGCCGGTTGGCCACGATGTAAGACTCCAGGGACTCCAGGAAGACTCCCTTAGCCACCGTGTTCTCCAGCAGGCGCGAGTAGAGCTGGTTGAACAGCAGGTCTCTGTGAGAGTCAGCAGCACAGCAGAACCTTCACTCTCACATATAAAACCACCCTTTCTTTTTATTTTAAAAACAGAAATCCAAACATCTGAATGTTTTTCCAAGCAACAGAACAAAGAGCATCTTCCCACCAACACAGAGTTAAACCAATAATAAAAGTTAAGAATTTAACGGAAAAAACACAGAAAATAAATTATAATAACTTATTTTTATTATAATAAATAATAATAATATCTTTTGGATTTTACTTTATAAAAATCTTTTATGATTTTTGTGGCTCAGTTTTCAAATACTGTAATCAACCACATCATCATGTTTTAGTAAGTAATTCAAAGAATGATGAATTTAATAGATCTCTGCATCCACCTCCATATTGTTTTTTTGTGACATTAAAATGGGTTTACTGTATGTTATTATATACAGGTAAAAGCCAGTAAATTAGAATATTTTGAAAAACTCAAAAGGTGTAACTTGTACATTATATTTATTCATTGCACACAGACTGATGCATTCAAATGTTTATTTCATTTAATTTTGATGATTTGAAGTGGCAACAAATATAAATCCAAAATTCCGTGTCACAAAATTAGAATATTACTTAAGGCTAATACAAAAAAAGGGATTTTTTTAGAAATGTTGGCCAACTGAAAAGTATGAAAACGAACCTGGCATTCCTCATCTTCCTTTTCACAATACCCCACAGATTTTCTATGGGGCTAACGTCAGGGGAGTTGGCTGGCCAATTTAGAACAGAAAAACCATGGTCCGTAAACCAGGCACGGGTAGATTTTGCGCTGTGTGCAGGCGCCAAGTCCTGTTGGAACCTGAAATCTCCATCTCCATAGAGCAGGTCAGCAGCAGGAAGCATGAAGTGCTCTAAAACTTGCTAGTAGACGGCTGCGTTGACCCTGGATCTCAGGAAACAGAGTGGACCAACACCAGCAGATGACATGGCATCCCAAACCATCACTGATGGTGGAAACTTTACTCTAGACTTCAGGCAACGTGGATCCTGTGCCTCTCCTGTCTTCCTCCAGACTCTGGGACCTCGATTTGCAAAGGAAATGCAAAGTTTGCTTTCGTCAGAAAACATGACTTTGGACCACTCACCAGCAGTCCAGCTCTTTTTTTCCTTAGCCCAGGTGAAACACTTTTCGCACTGTTTCTTGGTCAACAGTGGCTTGACACGAGGTATGCGGCAGTTGAAACCCATGTCTTTCAAGCGTCTCTTGGTGGTGGATCTTGAAGCACTGACTCCAGCAGCTGTCCACTCCTTGTGAATCTCCCCCACATTTTTGAATGCGTTTTTTTCACAATCTTGACTAGGGCGCGGTGATCCCTATCGCTTGTACACTTTTTCTGACCACAGTTTTTCCTTCCCTTTGCCTCTCTATTAATGTGTTTGGACATAGAGCTCTGAGAACAGCCAGCCTCTTCAGCAATAACCTTTTCTGTCTTTCTCTCCTTGTGTAATGTGTCGATGGTCGCCTTTTGGACAGCTGTCAAATCTGAAGTCTTCCCCATTGTTTGTGTAGGCTTCAGAACTGGACTGAGAGACCATTTAAAGCCCTTTGCAGGTGTTTTGAGTTAATCAGCTGATTAGTTTGTGGCACCAGGTGTTTTCAAAATGTAACCCTTACACAATATTCTAATTTTGTGACACACGGAATTTTGGATTTTCATTTGTTGCCACTTCAAATCATCAAAATTAAATGAAATAAACATTTGAATGCATCAGTCTGTGTGCAATGAATAAATATAATGTACAAGTTACACTTTTTGAATGCAATTACTGAAATAAATCAAGTTTTTCAAATTAGTCTAATTTACTTTTACCTGTATATCGTCCCATATTTCTGTCCCATATATGGAACAATCACAGAATGATAACAAAGGTCTACGGGCCACAGGCGGCTATGCTCTACCCCTTCTATTCATTCGGCGAGCTAATCTGAGTCGTTTAATTGCATTTGGAGAGCGAGATCATCTGTGGTAGCAGCACTAGACACAAAACTCATACGGGTGAGTAGAACATGATGTAATAATGTAAAATCAAGGGCCCAGTGTAAAAAAAAAAAATGGTGTACCCCTTTAAGTATTACTGTTGAGTACTTCGTCCATCACTGATTATATCCTTCAGCGGCATCATTTCCGTATCATCCCAATCAGCCGATCCTTTCTTTGCACATTTTCTAACAATCTGCTTCATTTCATGTTTTTGTTTTGACTTCTTTAGAAAATGCTGTTTATGTTTGGACTCGGGCTCTTTAAAGTCGTAGGGAAATCATATTTAAATGTCAAATTATTCTGGCTTAAACATGTATATAAATGTACTCTTTATCACTAGATATTGTCCCAAAATTTAGAAAATTTCTATATAAAAAAAATCTTGTCTTAAAACTTGTTTTTTTTCCTCTATTTTATGCAGTTATACGTAGTTATACGTCAGCCTGAACACCTAAATTCGGCCAATCATATATCAACGGTCATCTGTCAATCAAATATTTTCGGTCATAGTATCTTGATTCATATTGAGTTCACAGGGATGGACGTCTGTGTCTTCAGCAGGCGTAGAGCTAACAGAACTGGCAAGGGCTCAAACATGTACGGCTGGAAGCCTTCTACACCAAACCAAGCTTCTGCCGCCCTGGCGTCCTCTTCGTCCCGCTTTCCTCCTCTAAATAAAAAATGGATGACGGAGGAGACTCATCCACGACCTCCGACACTAAACTCTCCTCCTCTTGCATGTTTCCTCTGTCCATAGCGTTCCTTGACAGTGTCGTTTCTAAGTCACCAATTTAGTGCTACTTGGTCCCAATGGAATTTCCCATTGGGAACCTACTAGCACTAAGTTGCTAACTGGTTAGCAAGATGCTTCTGACAAACCGGCCACAATCAAATTTGCTTGCTAATCTTCCGCCACGACAATCCTGCCTTCTTGATAAACTCCCAATCACTTTCACTTTATTCGCTCGTGTAAAGTCGTGCACCACTCGGGAAAGTTCAGAAATGCAACGGTTGGAACAGCCGCTTCCCTACGACTTTAAGCTGGGAGGCGTGATGATCCATCAGACGGCTGATTGATCACAGACCTACTGTCAGTTCATCGGCTCAGGGAGGTTTTCCCCGTTTCGCTTCGTTATCAGGATTCAAGTTTAGTGCCAAACAAAACCGCTGGACGATGTCCTTTAGTTATCATAAAAAGCTTTCTGAAACCCCCCAACGTTTAGGACTGGGCCAGATGGAAGGATTTCTACAATCAACGATGGAATCAGCATTTTTGGATTAATCTCAGGTTGTGGGATGGGCGGCCATGTTTGTCCCGCCTTCCCAGGGTCAGCATCATCAACACAACAGGAACACACACACATACTCACGCCTTGTGCAGCAGGAGGCAGTAATCCACCAAAACCGGCACCATGTCCTGGAACACAGACAAACAGATTCAGCTCCAGCCGCTCCGGGTCGCAGGGAACTTCACAGCTTTTACATTTTAATTTGTCCAAAGCTTTATGCTACTAGCTTCAGGACTGTGATCTAGAACCGCTTCAGATCAGGCTCCAGAGCTCCAGGTAGCCCTTTAGTCCACCCCTCCCCCCACGGCTCCCTGGAGCTTTTTCAAATATGAATGAAAATGGAAAAAGATGGATTTTACCTGTTTGTCTTAATGTGGTGTGCAGGAGGTTAAACAGACATTTATTATGTTTTCCAATGCTGTAATAAATGTGTATAATAAATACATTTAAAGAATAAATGTAAACATTTCTGTCAATGAAGACTTGCGTCATAGCCTGCAACGCGTTCAGCGCAGCACGGTGCCAGGCAGGGGGTTATTGTAAACTAAGCGCTGGGTTTGTCTCGGGCCATGGATCCCAAAGGGAAAAAAAGAGGAAGATAACTGATGAGAACAGAAGATTCAAAGAAAAGAACAAATCATTTGCTTTCATTATCAATGAGGAAGGATTGCCTGCATGGTTGCTTGGTAATGAGTAGTTGCCAATTAATAAAAAGGGCAATTTGGAAAGGCATTTCCAGGAAAGGAATGCTAAATATGCAACCGACCACCAAGCTGGGAGGGAGAGATTTCTGTTCTGATGTGATTTCAGAACTTCTGGATAAATTAGAGTAGAACAAAGAGGGGATTGCATCTTTTCAACAAGTCGAAACGTTCAACTATGTCAGTGTCTTCATCGATGAGCGCTTAAATCACCAAACCGACGTCAAATGTGCTAATTGGAAGAGCAAAGACTGCATTCTGGAAGTACAAAGAACTCATGAGAAACAACCTTCCACTGAAACTCTAATGCTTGGAAGCCTACACTGCAAAAACAATCTGGAAATAAGTAAAAATATCTTAGATTAAGTGTATTTACCCTTAAATTAAGTAGGTAAATAAGATGTTTTGCCAATAGAATGATTATTTTTACTCTTAAAATAACATAATTTAATAAAATACACTTCAAAAAAGACATTTCAATAGTTTTTAAATGTAAACTGTCTTATTCTATTGGCAAATGGTCTCACTTACCTCCTTAATTCAAGAAAAAAATGCCCTTATTTTAAGAAAAAAATACTTGTTATGATTTCAAAATCAGTTGGACGGAGATGTTACGCAACGAGGAGGTGCTACAAAGAAAATAAACAGAAAGGCCGACTCTGCTGCACAAGATCATCAAAAGAAAGGTCCTGTACTTCTGTCATATCAGCCGGACCTCATCTGGTCTGGATTTGAAAATGATCGTGACTCAAGCGCATGTCAAATAGGGACGAGGCAGACGGTGCACTACATGGATAGACGAGATAGGACGGGAGAAGGACGTGAGGAAGAACATGGCGGAGGCTGAGAACAAAGAAGAATGGCGTAATGCATTAGAGACCCACGATCAAAACCGGTCAGGGTGAAGAGGAAGTATTGCATCTCCACTACTGCTGCTAGTTTGGTAGCAAGCATAGAAAACTGTTCACAGATCCAACAGGTAGCGCTCTGATGCAGGGATGGGAACTTTCTTCCATTTTTTTTTTTACCCAAATCTGTCACGCTTATCCCAAGTGGGTCGGGAGCGGTGCTGGTGCATGGTTTTGGTCTGTGGAAGGAAGCCGGAGTACCCGGAGAGAACCCATGGGGTTCAAGGGGGGTTGATTACCTGGAAGTGCTGCTCCATGACCTGGACTTTGCCCTGATCCGGACACTTCTTCAGAGCGAACTCTGCAAACTGGAGGAGAAGCTCTACCATCTGTGGAGACAGAGAGCTTCAAGCCTGAGAACAAGAGATTTCATCCAACGGAAGAGTGAGAAAAACCTGGACCTTGTCACTGATTGCTGCCTTCCTCTTCTGTGAGTCTGCATGGAGGCCTGCAACAGAGAAGCACCAGTTAACACTGACCGCTTCCTCCACTTTACTGGGACCAAAGATTTAGTGGAAGGAGGATCTCAGCAGCAGCTGGCTGTCATACCCACCTACCACAGCCTTGGCAGTGCCCTCATGGAAGGACCAGGCTAGAGACAGAGCCTCAGGGAAATGCTCCTGCTTCAGGAAGCAGTCCAGGCGCTGGACAGAGACAACACGGGTCAGCCAGGCCTCTGCAGAACCACCACAGCTGTTTTCTTCACATGTAAAGCTGAATTCGGCTGCAGGGAGTTTATCTGTGCTTGGAGAGCCTCTTTAGTTTTAAATATCCCAACAAATAGTTTAACTAAGTGCTTATTCACACAGCGCTACTAAAGGCATGTTTTCACTGCAGCTGAGGGCGTTCTGCTCTGGGCAGATGACTGAAGAGCACATCGCACTGCAAAAACAATCTGGAAATAAGTTCAACATTTTTAAATTAAGTCTATTTTCCTTTAATTTGAGCAGATAAATAAGATGATCCTCCATTGGAAGGAGCATTTTCACTTTTAAATTACATAATTATATAATATACACTTGAAATAAGACAATGCAATAGTTTTTTCTTATTTAAATGTAAAGTGTCTCCCCTACCTGTTCTATTCAAGAAAAAAAATGCACTTATTTTAAGAAAAAATTACTGTTTCAGATTTTAATTTTTTGCAGAGCGAGGCAGCGAGCTCCTCCTTTACTCGTGCTTATCTGACTTTATGAAGGAGGAATATCATGCCTACCTCCTTCCAGCTCCTCAGGGACATAATGTGAGCCGACTGCAAAAGAAGCAGAATGCAGAGTTAAACAACAGGAATGGGTGTGAACACAAATAAATCCAGATCAGAACTAAATGCCCCAGACGGGCGTCTCTAGGAGAACATCCTAATGACGACCCCACGGACTGCAGGGCGGAGTCTACGGCTGTTAAAGGTTACTGTTCACTTCATAACGGAACAAGCAGGAGGATTTTCTTTCCCGTCCACAATGATGGACAGCTTTTGTTTACAAACTGTCAGCAAATGGAGCTTCCTTCCCCTTCATAGCCTACACGTCAGAAAGGTGTCCAGCACCACCTGTGATCGTTGAATGAAGACGTGTCGCCGTGTTTTTTCCTTTCTGTGGTGTACAATGACAGATGCAGTCGAGTGAGGTGCTTCATATGCTTTGATGAAAGCGAAACATGTTCAGGTGTTTTCAAATGAGAAAACCGCCTCTGAGAGATAAAAATTCCAGATAAAAAAAAAACAGATAAAACCAGATAAAAATTCAGTGTAAGGAGTTCAATGTGAAAAAAATTTTTGTGTTTAAAAATCAGTGCTAAAAAAAAATCTGTGTTTAGAATTCTGTATAAAAAAAAAATCAGTGTTTAAATACGGTGTTAAAACTTCAGTTTACAAAACAAAGGCAGATTCCAATGAGACTGTTTTTCTATTATACGCTTTTGATCGAGGCAATAATAAAATCCCAAAAAATTAGACCAAATTTTTTTCAAACGTCACTTCTGCTGAAGAAAAGTAAACTAAACTCAATAACTAGTAATAAAAGATGTGTTTCTTTGATCACATTCTGAAGGTTTTTTTCTATCGTTTCCTACCTGCCGCTGTAGGGGAAGTATTTTGATTTACTGGTTTTTTTTCTTCCATCCAAATGCAAGCAGTACTTTCCTTGGAAGAAAAAGGCCTGTTTCTGATTGGCCGGTAGAGTTTTACCTACAGACAGTTAATCAATAAAGAATTCGGCACACAGCTGAAGTTGAGCTAGAAGGCTGAGCAATGCAGAGCAGGAGAGGAGCGGGAGCACGGCTGTTGTTGCGTCCTCAGACTACGCAGTACCCCTGAAACGTGTTCGGTCTGAATGCAGCAGAAGCGGCTAGAACAAGCAGGGAAGGAACCAAAAGAGAGAGCCGACCTCTACCTTGGTGCCCAGACAGACGATCTGGCCCGCGTGGCTGGACAGGGACTGGTAGCAGGCTTTTTCTCCAACCAGCGCCTGGAACACAAAGACCTCCGTTCAGCCTGAACCAGAACACATCACTGTCACTGCATCAGTACATGTGGCTCCATTCAAAGAAGCACTGAAAAAACCATCTAAAAATAAGAAAAAAATGTCTTAAATGAAGTCTATTTAATTTGATGATCTACCAATGGAATGAGTATTTTTACTCTTAAAATAAGATAATTAGATGGTATTCACTTGAAATAAGGCAATGCATTTTTTTCTTATTTTAAATATAAATTATCTTGTTCCCTTGGCAAAGTGTCTCACTTACCTCCATAATTTAAGAAAACATGCACTTATGTTAAGAAAAAATTATTTACATTTTTTGTAGTGAGATTTCAGTTTCAGGACGAAACAATGAAAAAATTAAAATCTAAATAAGTCGTTTTTCCTTAAAATAAGTGCTTTTTTTCTGGAACTGAGGAGGTAAGTGAGACTGAGTGAGATAATTGGAATACACTGCAAAAATGGTCTAGACATAAGTAAAAATGTCTTAAATCAAGCGTATTTACCCTTCATTGTAGTAGGTAAATGGGATGATTTGCCAATGGAATTAGTGTTTTTACTCTTAAAATAAGATTATTAGATAATATGCACTTGAAATAAGACAATGCGGTTGCTTTTTCTTATTTTAAATGTAAATTGTATTGTTCCATTGGCAAAGTATCTCACTTAACTCCTCAATTCAAGAACAAATGCACTTATTTTAAGCAAAAATAACTTATTTAGATTTCCATTTTTTGCAGTGTACAACGATTTACATTAAAAATAATAAGAAAAAAAAACAATTGCATTGTCTTATTTAAAGTTCATATTATATAATTATCATATTTCAAGAGTAAAAATAATACACATTCCATTGGTAAATCTTATGTACCTGCTCTTTTAAAGGTAAACAGACCTAATCTGATAAATCTGTACACACTGAACACACGATCTAGAAATAAGTCAATATTTCTTAAATTAAGTGTATTTACCTTTAACTTGAGTAAATAAGATGATTTGCCAATGGAATGACTACTTCTACTCTTAAAATAAAATACTTAGATAATATCCACTTGAAATAAGACAATGCAATTGTTGTTTTCTTATTTTAAATATAAATTGTCTTTTTCCATTGGCAAAGTTTCACACTTACCTGCTTGATTAAAGAAAAATGCACTTATTTTAATAAAAAATGACTTATTGAGATTTCTGTTTTTTCCAGTGCATATTTGTAGACTGTTTTTGCAGTGCCTGGATCTGGAAGTTCGACCTGCTAAAGGCCCGTTCCGGACGGACCTGCCTCTCACCAGAGCCTGAGAGACGTTCCCTCCGGTCGCCAACGATTTGAAGTGTCGACTGTTGTAGACCAGCTGCACCTGCTCCAGATCCAGAGTCTCCAGAACCTCCTGCGAGGGCCGGTCCACGACGTGCAGCTTCTCGTGGCTGTCCAGCAGCACCAAGGTGCAGCTGTTGATCCACTGCGGACACACAGAGGTTCATGTTGGGGCGGAGCCGCTGTTCTGTCCCGAGCAGCGGCTCTGGGTCGGTGCTTACGTTCAGACTGATGATGTCACAGCTCAGGTGGAGTTGTCTTTGTTTGATCACATGGATGGTGCCGCTCTCCTCCTTCTTCACCTTTGCAGATGGTAGATGAGGTCAGAGACACACAGGGAGGAAAAACTATGCAGCCTAAGAGAGCAATGATCAGCTGAATATTTGGTCACATGACAGCAAAGATGAGCAGATACCAGGAGGAAGTGGACGGTGTCTCCTTTACAGAAGGCAAGGACGGGGTTGACCGTCTTCTGGACGGGAACAAACTGCCAGGCCAGCTGGGGGACACTGGTCGGGTCCGACTGAGGAATGAAAACATCCAAACAAAGAAGCTGTTTTTTAAATGCAGCTGCAGAGGAAACTAGAGTTCCTCCACAACCAGCATCGCAGCCGGAGCTAGAGGCTGACCACCCGGCTGGACGGCTCGGGTCAGAACACTGGGAGAAGGTATCTGTCCTGGAGATCAGCATCACCTGGATGATCCACCGCCAGCTCCAACAGCTCTGAGTGGCAAAGTCAAAGCACTGAGATCTGACTGAGACGCTCTGATGATGCGAAACTTCTTATCTCTAACCTGATTGATCAAAACCGTTTGTTTCATATTTATCATTTTATCAACCTTTGCTGGATGATCTCAAATAAGGAAGGGGGGTGAATATTTAAACACAGAAGGAAAGTGAAGGGAGGGAATACTTTCTCCCATCCTGTGCGAATCTACAGCAGACAGACAGAAGGAAAGGTAATGTGACCTTGGTGTAGGGCAGCGTCATCCAGACGTTCAGGCTGGGCTTCAGTCCAATCACCAGGATCTGGGTAACACCAAAGAAACACCTTATGAGTTCTGGTGTTCTGGTTCTGTCCCGGCTGGCGGGTCCAACGCGTACCTTGGTGAGGGAGGCCATGGCGAGCAGAGAGTAGCAGGTGATGGGATGGTCTTTGAGGTCCGGAGGCGTCCGCAGAGGTTCCACGCAGCACACTTCTCCTTTAGAGCCGCTGAACAGACACCGGGAGTCACAGGAGCGCATCCCCATGACCCGCCTGGGAAGAACCGCCACACAGAACACACCTGTCACAGCCGAGCCCAAAATGAGACGACCGCCACCGAGCGTGTCGATTCCCACAGCTTAGAACGGGCCGGAACCAAGCGGGCTGCTGGACGGGCCTCACCTGAATGTCAGCTCAAACACGGAGCCTCCGCTGTCGTTGCAGACCGCCAGAGTCGGGTCGTCTGTGAACTACAGCAGAGGTAGAGGTCAGTCCAGGAAGGGACCGGTTCTACAGAACCGTCTGGGAGAAGGAACGACCATCCTCCTCCTCACAGAACTCTCAGTTCAACCTAAGCACCAAATGTTCTGCTACCAGACAGAGATAACGGGTCGAGTCCACCGCCTCTTATACAGCCGCTGCTGGTCCAACGGAGCCGCTGTCTGTGATTGGACCTTTACTGAATCTCTAGGGGGCGCCGTTTGTAAAGTTAAGCAGTCAAAAATTAGGAGCAATCTTTATGGTTATGTAGCGTGTTTTAAGAGAAAAATAAGGGGCTTATTTTTTTCCATATAATTTTTTTACTGTCATTCATTCATTTATAAAAAAAATAACTTTTTTTAAAATAAATATTTAGTTTGGAGCTAAATATTTAGTTAGCAAATTAAATATTTAGTTTGTTAAATAAATATTTAGTTTGCAAATTAAATATTTAGATTTTTAAATACATTTTTAGCTCCAAACTAAATATTTAGTTTGTTAAATAAATATTTAACTCCAAATTAAATATTTAGTTTGAAATTTAAATATTTAGTTTTTTAAATAAATATTTAACTCCAAATCAAATATGCAGTTTGTTAAATAATTATTTAGCTCCAAACTAAATATTTAGTTTGGAAATTTAATATTTAGTTTGTTAAATTAATATTTAGCTCCAAATTAATAATTTATTTTGCAAATTAAATATTTAGTTTATTAAATAAATATTTAGTCTGGAGCTAAATATTTAGTTTGCAAATTAAATATTCATTTTGAAAATTAAATATTTTGTTTTTTAAATAAGGTTTTTGGCTACAAACTAAATATTTAGTTTGCAAATTAAATATTTAGATTTTTAAATACATTTTTAGCTCCAAATTAAATATTTAGTTTGTTAAATAAATATTTAACTCCAAATCAAATATGCAGTTTGTTAAATAATTATTTAGCTCCAAACTAAATATTTAGTTTGGAAACTAAATATTTAGTTTGTTAAATAAATATTTAACTCCAAATTAAATATGCAGTTTGTTAAATAATTATTTAGCTCCAAACTAAATATTTAGTTTGTTAAATAAATATTGAACTCCAAATTAAATATGCAGTTTGTTAAATAAATATTTAACTCCAAATTAAATATTTAGTTTGTTAAATAAATATTTAATCCAAATCAAATATTTAGTTTGTTAAATAAATATTTAACTCCAAATTAAATATTTAGTTTGAAATTTAAATATTTAGTTTTTTAAATAAATATTTAACTCCAAATCAAATATGCAGTTTGTTAAATAATTATTTAGCTCCAAACTAAATATTTAGTTTGGAAATTTAATATTTAGTTTGTTAAATTAATATTTAGCTCCAAATTAATACTTTATTTTTCAAATTAAATATTTAGTTTATTAAATAAATATTTAGTCTGGAGCTAAATATTTAGTTTGCAAATTAAATATTCATTTTGAAAATTAAATATTTTGCTTTTTAAATAAGGTTTTTGGCTACAAACTAAATATTTAGTTTGCAAATTAAATATTTAGATTTTTAAATACATTTTTAGCTCCAAACTAAATATTTAGTTTGTTAAATAAATATTTAACTCCAAATTAAATATTTAGTTTGTTAAATAAATATTTAACTCCAAATTAAATATTTAGTTTGTTAAATAAATATTTAACTCCAAATCAAATATGCAGTTTGTTAAATAATTATTTAGCTCCAAACTAAATATTTAGTTTGGAAACTAAATATTTAGTTTGTTAAATAAATATTTAACTCCAAATTAAATATTTAGTTTGTTAAATAATTATTTAGCTCCAAACTAAATATTTAGTTTGTTAAATAAATATTTAACTCCAAATTAAATATTTAGTTTGTTAAATAAATATTTAACTCCAAATCAAATATGCAGTTTGTTAAATAAATATTTAACTCCAAATTAAATATTTAGTTTGAAATTTAAATATTTAGTTTTTTAAATAAATATTTAACTCCAAATCAAATATGCAGTTTGTTAAATAATTATTTAGCTCCAAACTAAATATTTAGTATGGAAATTTAATATTTAGTTTGTTAAATTAATATTTAGCTCCAAATTAATACTTTATTTTTCAAATTAAATATTTAGTTTATTAAATAAATATTTAGTCTGGAGCTAAATATTTAGTTTGCAAATTAAATATTCATTTTGAAAATTAAATATTTTGTTTTTTAAATAAAGTTTTTGGCTACAAACTAAATATTTAGTTTGCAAATTAAATATTTAGATTTTTCAATACATTTTTAGCTCCAAAATAAATATTTAGTTTGTTAAATAAATATTTAACTCCAAATTAAATATTTAGTTTGTTAAATAAATATTTAACTCCAAATTAAATATTTAGTTTGTTAAATAAATATTTAACTCCAAATCAAATATGCAGTTTGTTAAATAATTATTTAGCTCCAAACTAAATATTTAGTTTGGAAACTAAATATTTAGTTTGTTAAATAAATATTTAACTCCAAATTAAATATTTAGTTTGTTAAATAAATATTTAACTCCAAATCAAATATGCAGTTTGTTAAATAATTATTTAGCTCCAAACTAAATATTTAGTTTGGAAACTAAATATTTAGTTTGTTAAATAAATATTTAACTCCAAATTAAATATGCAGTTTGTTAAATAATTATTTAGCTCCAAACTAAATATTTAGTTTGTTAAATAAATATTTAACTCCAAATTAAATATTTAGTTTGAAATTTAAATATTTAGTTTTTTAAATAAATATTTAACTCCAAATCAAATATGCAGTTTGTTAAATAATTATTTAGCTCCAAACTAAATATTTAGTTTGGAAATTTAATATTGAGTTTGTTAAATTAATATTTAGCTCCAAATTAATACTTTATTTTTCAAATTAAATATTTAGTTTATTAAATAAATATTTAGTCTGGAGTTAAATATTTAGTTTGCAAATTAAATATTCATTTTGAAAATTAAATATTTTGCTTTTTAAATAAGGTTTTTGGCTACAAACTAAATATTTAGTTTGCAAATTAAATATTTAGATTTTTAAATACATTTTTAGCTCCAAACTAAATATTTAGTTTGTTAAATAAATATTTAACTCCAAATTAAATATTTAGTTTGTTAAATAAATATTTAACTCCAAATTAAATATTTAGTTTGTTAAATAAATATTTAACTCCAAATTAAATATTTAGTTTGTTAAATAAATATTTAACTCCAAATCAAATATGCAGTTTGTTAAATAAATATTTAACTCCAAATTAAATATTTAGTTTGAAATTTAAATATTTAGTTTTTTAAATAAATATTTAACTCCAAATCAAATATGCAGTTTGTTAAATAATTATTTAGCTCCAAACTAAATATTTAGTTTGGAAATTTAATATTTAGTTTGTTAAATTAATATTTAGCTCCAAATTAATACTTTATTTTTCAAATTAAATATTTAGTTTATTAAATAAATATTTAGTCTGGAGCTAAATATTTTGTTTGCAAATTAAATATTCATTTTGAAAATTAAATATTTTGTTTTTTAAATAAAGTTTTTGGCTACAAACTAAATATTTAGTTTGCAAATTAAATATTTAGATTTTTCAATACATTTTTAGCTCCAAACTAAATATTTAGTTTGTTAAATAAATATTTAACTCCAAATTAAATATTTAGTTTGTTAAATAAATATTTAACTCCAAATTAAATATTTAGTTTGTTAAATAAATATTTAACTCCAAATCAAATATGCAGTTTGTTAAATAATTATTTAGCTCCAAACTAAATATTTAGTTTGTTAAATTAGTATTTAGCTCCAAATTAATAATTTATTTTTCAAATTAAATATTTAGTTTATTAAATAAATATTTAGTCTGGAGCGAAATATTTAGTTTGCAAAAATAAATATTTAGTTCGCAAATTAAACATGCAGACGACCTTGTTTCTGAGTCTAAACCAGCCTTTAGTGTTGATGATGGAATCAGTGGGAGAGAAGTCAGGAATGTAAACAATGGAGAGCAACATGGAAGGAAGCCAGGGCGTAGTCAGCGTGCTTTATTGTTTCTTTCTATTATCTATCTGAATCACTCTCACCAGAACTCCTCCATGTTTATCAAATCTAAACAGAGCTTTTTCTGCTGGTTAGATCAGAAGCGACTGGTGTGGTGTGTTGACGTCCGTACGGTGCGTTCAATGGTATTCCTTTTTTTTTTAGCTCTGGTGTTCCCGCAGCATGCTGGTCGGAGCCGAGATGATTTTAATGTGGGTCCCTTCCCGAGTCGTTTGGCCTGAGTAAACACGAGTCAGTGAGGTGTTCCCACTGCCACTAGAAGCCCATTGTTCCCAGGTTTAAACAGGTTTTTTGGCCAATCAGAAAGAGGGATAATTCATGCAATAAATGGTTTCTATGGGCTGAGGTTATGGAGCTAAATTCCAAAATATTTCTAAAACAGAAACAAAAAAAATCTAAAACTGAAAGAACTTTTTTAAAACAGAAAAAAATCTCAAAGTGAAAAGTCTTTAAAAAAAGTTCAAAAAGATTTTTCTGATTCCATTTTTTTATTTTCTTAAGGTTCAAACTTCACTCACCTTCACATGCAGTATGGCAGTTCCTGGAGGATGGGCGTCTGTGATGGTCCTCAGAAGCTTCCCGTTAGCCAGATCCCACATGGTAATCTGGCCAAGCACAATTCATAGAGCAATAGTGTAACTTCTAGGTCTCACACTTCTATAAACCGACTGATATATTTATGAAGTTTAATTTTGTTTCAAAACTATTTTTGCAATGTAAGTGGGAATTTGAAGTAGTAGAGAGACTTACATTCTAAGTTTTGTATTTGTAGACTTAAGATACTACCCACAGGTCACAGATCATTTTTACTGGTGTGACATTTGTGTCAAAAGTGAAAATGAAGGCGCAACCTGTAAAACTGAATTTGTGACACACAGCAGCAGATTCAAGCAGTAGTATTCATTAGTTTGTATTTGTGTTAAGGAAAAACATAAATATATATATATATATATATATTAGGATCTTAATATAAATATTTGAATTTGTTTTGCACCATTTGTTTTAGATCAACTGTAGCAAAACTGAATGGAAGACATTTTTGATCTGCAACTCACGGAACACAATTTGTTTACCTGTACTCAAGAATTTGAAGAGGTGTCAATTTTTTTGTAATTGGGACAGATTTAAAAAATCTACATGTTTTTGATGTGCAACTTGTAGAACAGAATTTGTCTACTTGTAGTTCAAATTTGAACAGGCGCAAAAAAAATGTGTGCCTGTGAATTTTTTTTTTAATTATTATTCTACAAATACAAAAAATAGAATGTAACTCTCTCTACAACTTTAAATTCACACTTACAATGCTCATAGTTTTGAATTAAAATAACCTTCATAGATAAACAAATGAACAGATCTGGGATGAGCTGAGTTAGGAGGACGGAACTACAGGTGGACCCAGAACCCGCCGTCCTGCCGCCTCAGCTGGTCTGTACCGAGCTCAGACATACCTGGCCTTTAGCAAATCCACACAGAAGACGAGAGCAGTCGTGGTTGATGCTGAGAGCGGACACGGCGCCGAACTCTGCTCCTGTCGTCTTGCTGCCCAGACACAGCCGCAGAGCCTGGTTGGTATCTGAGGAGAAATTCAGGCCCTGGTTTACAAACAGCCTCTTCATACAGATTTCAGAACCGACGGATGCGGCGCATGCCTCAAACTGACACCAACAAAGCAAAGGTTCAAACGGGACACGATGCTTCCAGCAGGCAGAAAACAAGAGAACAGCCATTAAACAGACGGAGCCGTACCTTTTCCTGCCCGCGCCGGGCCATCGATGTGTCAGCACAACAAAGAGACATCAGTCAGCTTTTATCACATCGACGCAGATGGATGTTAGAAACGTTTTCTGGGGACTGATTGGGATTTGGACCCATCGGCTGAGATTTCTATGTCTGACTTCTAAGAAATGTCTGAAATCTGCTGTTCTGAGGCCGCGTTCTAGAACAAGAATAAAACTTTATGGAAACGATACAATGGAGGCTCTAAATGGACACAGGAAGCTAGAGCTATGATGCAGCTCGTAGATTTCTGATGTTCTCCTGTTTTTTGTTCATTAGCCTCCAGAACACCTTTATCAAACAGGGAAAAGGGAAACTACATGATGAGTCTAGATGTGGGAACTGGGCCACACCACAACTGCTTTACATATTTGCATGAGTCAGTTCTGGAAAATCAATAAATGAAAAAAAAAAACTGAGGCAACTTCCTCTCTGAGTTTTTTTAATATGAAGGGACTATTGTTGTGTTTTGTAGGAATCATTTTATGATTTTCAATTCATTTCAAAGAAAAGAACAGACCCCTGGTGAAGCTGAGACTTTACAGGGAGTTATACTGCTTAGGAGTTTAAAACAACATTTTAGCAAAGAAATGACGTGCAATCGATGGGTCTCTTATGGTCTTCTTCCTCCTCTTCTCACTCAGTAGCGGTTGGCCAATAAACCTATCAATGTGTTACCGCCACCAAATGGAAAGGAGGGAAACAGCTTCTTAAGGCGTTTTAGACCCACATGTGTAAATCTGTGCTACTTCTAAACTACTCAAAGATAAAACACCTGCGGTCATATGTATCTAGGAGCTGACATCCAGAAATAATAACAAATATTACATGAACTTTTACTGACTTATGTTAACAAATGCCGACACGTCTGCATTCATGTTTATTGACGGCCATCTAACCCCATACATCCTGCTGCCTAATGATGTCTAACCAGGAATGCTGATATTCTAGATAAAGTCCTGCCTTATTCATTCTCACTTTTTTTTAAATATTTTTTACTGAAATGCTGATGAACCTGATCTTTACAAGAAGTGCAGCATCAATCGATTATTCTAGTGATTGATCATGGGTCACTTCAATCATTTATCGGTTTTTAAGTCATCTAACAAAAGATGCTTTTGTTAATTGAATACCTCTTAAAAAAAAGGTGAACTAAAAATACATAAAAAATACAATAATAAGCAGGAAAATAAGGCTGAACAACGAATAGAAAGGACCTGGACTCACCGAATACCAAGGCGAGACCATGAGATGTTCCTACAGCGATAACTCCAGACATGGCCTGAGAGAACAAGCAGACAAGAGCGCAGAGTTTAGGAAACATCAGATTGGGTCGCAGCAGCCTGTCTGTCTGCTAGCAAAGAGTTTAGGTGTAGAACAGCCAGATCCTTACTATGGCGGTGGGAAGCCCGGCGTCCACTTTGTCCTGAAGGGAGAAGAAGAGTATCTATCATCACCTCATAACAGCAGGGAAACGTTTTCCTGTTTGATTCATATTTCTGGTCTTACTGAAGCAGCGACCATCTGGGCAGAGATGCCCTTCAGCAGGCTGAGACGAAGGACCGAGCCGTGGACGGCCGCGCTCTGATCCAGAGGCCTCCTCTTTCTTCAATACAGAGAGAAAATAGGAGCCAACAGTAAGTCTGAATCAGAAGATGAAGCTTTATTTAGTGACAAAAATGCTTGGCTACTAATAAAAACCCAGAACAAACAACGCACGGCAGAACGTTAGCCCGTCTGCGGCAGGCAAGGGCTGACGTTAGCCTGTCTGCAGCAGGCAAGGGCTGACGTTAGCCCGTCTGCTGCAGGCAGACTGACGTTAGCCTGTCTGCGGCAGGCAAGGGCTGACGTTAGCCCGTCTGCAGCAGGCAAGGGCTGACGTTAGCCCGTATGCAGCGGCCAGGGCTGACGTTAGCCCGTCTGCGGCAGGCAAGGGCTGACGTTAGCCCGTCTGCTGCAGGCAGACTGACGTTAGCCTGTCTGCGGCAGGCAAGGGCTTACGTTAGCCTCTCTGCGGCAGGCAAGGGCTGACGTTAGCCCGTCTGCGGCAGGCAAGGGCTGACGTTAGCCCGTCTGTGGCGGCCAGGGCTAACGTTAGCCCGTCTGTGGCGACCAGGGCTGACGTTAGCCCGTCTGCGGCAGGCAAGGGCTGACGTTAGCCCGTCTGCAGCAGGCAAGGGCTGACGTTAGCCCGTCTGCGGCAGGCAAGGGCTGACGTTAGCCCGTCTGCGGCAGGCAAGGGCTTACGATAGCCTGTCTGCGGCAGGCAAGGGCTGACGTTAGCCCGTCTGCGGCAGGCAAGGGCTGACGTTAGCCCATTTGCGGCAGAGAAGGGCTGACGTTAGCCTGTCTGCGGCAGGAAAGGGCTGACACAGACGGGCTAACGTTAGCCCGTCTGCGGCAGGCAAGGGCTTACGTTAGCCCGTCTGTGGCGGGCCAGGGCTGACATTAGCCCGTCTGCGGCAGGCAAGGGCTGATGTTAGCCCGTCTGCGGCAGGCAAGGGCTTACGTTAGCCCGTCTGTGGCGGGCAAGGGCTGATGTTAGCCCGTCTGTGGCGGGCAAGGGCTGATGTTAGCCCGTCTGCGGCAGGCAAGGGCTTACGTTAGCTCGTCTGCGGCAGGCAAGGGCTGACGTTAGCCCGTCTGTGGCGGGCAAGGGCTGATGTTAGCCCGTCTGCGGCAGGCAAGGGCTTACGTTAGCCCGTCTGTGGCGGGCCAGGGCTGACGTTAGCCCGTCTGCAGCGGGCAAGGGCTGACGTTAGCCCGTCTGTGGCGGCCAGCGCTAACGTCCCTTTTAACAGGAAGAAACCTCCAGCAGAACCAGGCTCAGTGTGAGCGGCCATCTGCCGAGGCCGACTGCGGTTCAATAGTTCAGTTTATTAGTGAATGAACTGTTCTATCTAATGAAACCCGGATGATGTAAGGATCTCATCTACATGCAGTAGAACAGAAAGCCCTCTCTAGCATCTCTGAAAAGTCCAAACATTGGTTTAAATCTAATCCTTCCTCCTGTGAATTTGAATCAACTGGAGCCACATTTATTGTGCTGATTATACTAAGCGAGTTCATGATGATCAGTCTGATCGCAGTATCACACTGATTGCGCCCACAATCTTACATAATGTCTGAAAATGGCTCAAATGCCATTTACATCATAGATCAGCCATAACATTATGACTACCTGCCTGGTAATGGGAGCCTGTGAGCGCCTTAGCACCAGAACCTGTGTGTTCCTGATCTCTGCAGAATAGGGCTGAAACCACTACCGTAAATTCCGGACTATAAGCCGCTACTTTTTTCCCGCTGTTTGAACACTGCGGCCTATAATACAGTGTGGCTAATACAGGTTTATGCGACAAGGATGAGACTGAAGTCAGTGACAGCATCCTGAAGCTGTTCCATTCAGACACCGAGGAAGAGGACTTGAAAGAAAGTGATTAATGACTTTTCCTGGTCGGCTGCAATGTTCTGTGCGTTGTTCAATTAAAAGTACTGGTATATGCAGCGTTATTTGCGTGTTACCGACATGTGTTACAGGTAGTTTGAAAAAAAAAAAAAGGGCATTCATCAATATGTAACGTATTTGTTTTTTTTATCATACGGATTAAATCAAACGTTAAAAAAATGCTCACGTGTAATATCTTTATTTGTAAATATCTCATACAACGTGGGAAACCTGCGGCTTAAAATCCGGTGCGGCTTATAAAAGCACAAAATTGATTTTCTTTCTAAAATTAGAGCGTGCGGCTTGTAATCAGGTGCGCTCTATAGTCCAGAATTTACGGTAATCAGGTTAATCAATTTTTTAAATAATGGTCAACTAATTTACTAGTGGAGTATAAATGGAGTATAGTGACCCAAAAACATGCCTTTAGCTGACAGAGCGACACACTTACAGCAGCGATTATATCAAAATTGTAAAAAAAAAAAAAAACATATAATAAATAAAAACATGTTTTTTCTGTCAATCTGCTCTATCCAGAACTCCTCAAGTGGAAAAGTTTTAGTTTCACTTGGTTTAATCTAAGAAAAAAGTGTTCTTTAAGGAACCATTGGATATCTGATTATTAATCTTAAGATGAATCAAAAGATTAATTGATTTGCAAAATAATCGTTAGTTACAGCCCTACTGAAGACATTCACTTTTCAAACATTCAAACTTAACGTTGCTTCTGTTTTAATTCAATCTATTACAATAAAAGTAACAGCTCTATATCCCACAGGAAAGGAGTATAAGACTAGAGATCGAGGCATATCCATCCAGTCACAACGTCTTTTATTTTCTGTCCTCAGACTTTAGATGCTGTATAAACTTAATCAGTGGAGGCAACTCTATGAGTTCAGCCTTCCTATTGACCAATTAGTCTAAGGAGGAAGTTCAGTTTACCTGTCAGAGGTCATACTGTTATGGCTGATGGGTGGAAGCAGGTTTAGAGCACTTTCAAACAGGGCAGGTTTCTGTGTGTGTTCATGCCGTTTGAGGTGCGCAGGGTCTCCGCTGTCCGAGCTGGCCAAGGAGGACGTGTCACAGGACTGAGCGTCCATGTTGTCCGTGTTTAAAATGCACGTGTCCTCCAAAACAAACGGCTCCTCCTCTTCCTCCATCTGCAACACACAGGGGAGAAAAAAAACAAGTTAAGCTCCGCCTAGATCAAACTACGGAGTTCAAGCTGAAGGTGGAAGGAGAACCAGGCAGCGCCAGACATTGGAATTTTCTTCCGGAAGAAACTTGGAAGGTCAAATTTACTGGAGCGTTTTATTTCTTTTGGTGAATATTTTGCCTTCAGCAGGCCCAGAACCAGTAATAACATGGAGGTGGGGTTCAATATATATAAACCAGGGAGGTTTGGGGGCAGGAAGAGCAGAAGAAATGAAAGACAGAAAGTCAACTGGTGGAATCTGAGGATATAAGATAGAGTTTTCCTACTATTTAAAGGCTATTAGTAGATTCCTCCTTATATATCCTGGTGATTTGTGACCAATAGTTATTCATTCATTTATCTAGATTTGTATTACATACACTAAATAAATTATACACATTCTTAAAGGAGAATTCCGGTTTTTAACACTTTAAGCCCATTTTCTGTAGTGTCCAGGATGAAATCGAATGATCGACACCAAAATTTTGACAATTGCTCCTGTCTCTGCTTTTTGGCTCATACAGAATCACCCCCTGGCTGCTTTAGAATGGCTTCCATTGTGCATGTCCGATAATGTCCTTAAAACAACCTTAAACGTTCTTTTTTTAAAATATGCTACTCACCGGGTCGTCAGCGCTGTTCAATGATGTTCCTAAAAAAGTTTCGTAAAGAAAAAACGTTCCTGTAGTGTTTTATTTAGCATTTTGTAAATCCCATTGAGTTCTGTTGGAATAGTCAATATTCCGCTGCCACCGGAAACGGAAATGGGGCCTGTTTACACAGTTGTAGTCTTTTCGCTTCACTCCGTGTACTCCGATGTCGAGAATCAACAATCCACCTTTCGTATTCCATTTTCAGAGTTTTTTAAAGTGTTTAACAGAGACGTTAGCACCTCGACGTCGGAGTACACAGAGTGAAGCGAAAAGACTACAACTGTGTAAACAGGCCCCATTTCCGTTTCCGGTGGCAGCGGAATATTGACTATTCCAACAGAACTCAATGGGATTTACAAAATGCTAAATAAAACACTACAGGAACGTTTTTTCTTTACGAAACTTTTTTTGGAACGTCATTGAACAGCGCTGACGACACGGTGAGTAGCATATTTTAAAAAAAGAACGTTTAAGGTTGTTTTAAGGACATTATCGGACATGCTCTATGGAAGCCATTCTAAAGCAGCCAGGGGTCGATTCTAAATTAGCCAAAAAGCAGAGACAGGACCAATTGTCAAAATTTTGGTGTCGATCAGTCGATTTCATCCTGGACACTACAGAAAATTGGCTAAAAGCGTTAAAAACCGGAATTCTCCTTTAATTTGTGTCACTGTGATTATTCTCATAAAGATTTATCCTCATATATCCTGGTAGATAAACTGAATTTATTTTTTATCCTCTTAACATTCACCTCATTTTGGGTAATCCTCGCCTATTTTGCATACCCAAATGGAAAAGCAAATAACTTAACAACTGTAAGCCCAAATTAAATTACATTACTTGAAAGCTAACACCCTCTATTTGATGAATATCTAAATTAAAATTGGGTGAGTAGAACACAGACCAAGCTGCATCAGTTCAAACATGACTCAAAGTTGGTGGTTTGTTCTCGGAAATTATGGGACTTTTTTGAACAGCAGTAATAAAGACATTCTTGAGAAAAGGCCGGTCTCATTGTATTAGATTTGTTCCACATCATGTCAACCACGAATGCAGAAAATTTCCAACCTGTAGCTACATCAGTTCCAGAGCTGTGGGGTTTTTTAACTTTTGGTGTCAGTTTGGAGCTGCACTCAATGGCTCCACCTGCTGGTGTCTGTGTTTCTCTCTAACACAAGCCTGTAATGCGGTACCCCTATAAATAAACTACACACATTTGGGGTTGTTTGAAACCTTAATTTATTGGCTACAAAGCCCAACAGCCCAAAGGGTCTTAACCAATTACAGCAGAGAATAATAACGTCAATCATATTGCACGCCACTTGCTGACAGGAAATGAAATCGAGGTGAGATTGCGGGGACTATATCTCACTTAAATCGCATCATAAAAATATGCAGACACTAGTATCTTGTAGATAAAAAGACGATGTAAAGAATCATACCAAACAACGCCGGACTGACCTGACTGAGGATGCTCTCCAGGGTGGGAGGCGTGTCCACTTGGGGGATGTCAAACTCCTTATCGTCAATCTAAGAAAAAACATAAAAAAAGAAGAAATACCAAACAGAAACAAGAGAATTAGAAGCAACTTTTATGTTGTAATCTGTGACACATCTTTTTGCATGACATATGGCATTATTCTTAAACAGGGGGTCCACAGAGGTACTGCATGGGGGTACCTAAAGTTTAGGTTGATTAAGTTTTTTTTATATTAGCCCCTGAAATTTCTTCCACTAATTGAAATGTCTTTAAATCCACATTAACATGAATTCAGCACACTGTAGTAAACAGATAAATGGAGGCAGAAGATGTCTTTCAGTCATCAATTAACACATTCAGCGACACACAGGAGCTCTTTCAATCTGGGCACCGTTTCATTTACAACACCTGTCCCATCAACCAGGAATCAGAATCAGAAATACTTTAATAATCCCAGGGAGGAATTACTTTAGTTACATTACTCCATCTGTAATAGAGTGACTATAGGACCAGTTTGATAGAACACAATATCATACAATATTAGGGGGTCCCCACTGCATCTCGCCATTAGTTTTGGGGTTCTTCGCCTGGAAAACGTTGAAGACCCCTGATCTAGAGGCAGCAACAGGATCCGCTGGCTTGTAACCACATGTTTCAGACTGGATGGTGGGATTAGTATGGACGACTTAAAAATAAGTCATCGTAAATGCATGAATAAACGTAAAAATAAAAGTGGAAGTCTATATTTTTTGAATAATAATTGATCAATTGATAAAGAAATATCTTATTTTTACTTTATTGTCACATTTAATGTCACACAAATTCATATTATTAGCCACTTTTTCAATAATTTTATATTATTAAGTCCTTCATTTATTTCTGTATGTGTTTTTAATTATGGCAGGATTGGTCCTCCATAGAAAGGAGCTTAGGGCTGGACTATATGGATTAGCTTCTTCTAACACCGCAGAAAGCTTCCCTTGCAGCTTCTGGATTAGCATATTATTCAGTGGTCCGTTTGGGCCGAACTGGACTCTGACTTCTGGGTTCATAAAATCTGGTTTCTACAGAGTAAAAAATGCTGCTAAAAATGGGGAAACGACAGAAGATTGGGAACAGGATGATGACGAGGAAACTTTGATGATTTGATCCCTACTTCATCCAGAAAACAGAGTTTTATTCCTAATTGAATATGTTTTATATCTATGATGTAATCTGAGGGGAACCATCACGCATCCAGGTTTATAAAATCCCAAATTAAACAGACACCTGTCCACCACAGCCTGTAACATCCAGCTGACTCTTTGGGTTTATGTTTGGTATCGAACTGAAGCAGAACAGAACCAGCTTCTCTCACCGATTCTACTTCCATGAGGTTGAGCTGCGAAGAAGCGGACAAAAGGCTTCTGCTGTCTGGAGACTGCGACATTTCTGTGTTTACATTCACATCCGAGCATCCAGGAAGTCCTCTAACGCATTCTTCTTCTACTGCACAGAAAACTGCTTGGAGTAAACGCGAAAACCCGGTACCATGAACACTACTGCCATCTACTGGACAGATCAGCCTGGGAGGAAAACACCACCCGATCCATCCTGGAAGCACGATCCGTTCTGCGCATGCGCCTTCAGCTCGTTTGTGCATCCAGATATACATCCGGGTCGTCCTCGATTTTATTTGGTTAAAAAGACTAATATTACGTTTTCCTTTCCCCAAAATTATAAACGTACTAAAATATAACGTGTTAAAGGTTAATAATGTATTTCATGAGAAAATGAATGCCTTAAAATTCTTTCTGTTTTTTTTTTATTAAGACATTTACATGAAAAATACCCTCAAAGAAGATGACAAAAATGTACACGACAAGAGGAAGGTTAATAGCAGTGGATTTATTTAAACAAACATTTAAATACAACATAGAAAGAGCCAGAGAACTTTGAAAAACAAAAAAAAAGGTGGATGCAATTAGAATAACAGATGATGGGAGAATTTAAGACTCACTTTTTGGCATATTTGTCCTTTTTTTTTTATCTTTTTAAAAGAAAAAAGTTTGTTTGTTTTTTGTTTTTACTGTGTCCTGTCTGGCAATGTGACAATAAGAATAACTGTCTTGATGCCAAAAAGAGCCCAACAGATTTTACTTTCACAAGTGGAGCAGTACGGCTATCACCATAGTGTTCCGCTTGATTTATGCATATAAATTGCTTTATTGTATTTATGCAGGGAATTTTACAGATTATATGGACACTGCAATGTATGAACAGGAAAGGAAAAACAGAAACACAGGAGAAAAGATGAAAGAAAGAGGAGATAAAAGGAATACAAGGTTTTCAAATCATTAATAAAGCAATGAAAGGAAGGTTTACATTTCTCCATTTAGCACAGTGGATATAATATTTACCCAACAGCAGGATGATATTCATAGTATCAGAAACAGGCAAAGGAAGATGGTCCAAATAAAGAATGACATAATTTAGAGCAAATTGAGGCAAATCATTAATTTTCAAAGAAATCCAATCTTTTATCTCTTTCCAGAAGAGGACACAGGATATAAAACATATGTTCAAGAGTTTCACAGTTATTAAAATTACAATTATTTTCTTTCTACAATTCTATTCTTTTTTTTTATTCTGCCACAGGATGAATTTTGTTTATAACTTTAAAACACGTTTCTTTGACTTTAGGTAGAATGGGCCATTTAACAAATTTTGAGAATGCTATATCAGCTGTATCTGAACTAACAGGAATATATCTCTTCCAAGTAAATCTATCATAATCATGACATTTTCTGGCTTTCGAAAAACTGTTAATGAATTTATTATTGCATTTTTGTTTATCAAATAGATTGCATTGTGGAATCAACAAGCTGGCCAATATTGGTGGGTATTTACTGTATAACCTAGAATTTTTAATCAAGTGAATTATCAGCAGTGAAATCGATTTACACAGTTTGTTATACTCCCTTAAAGAAAAATTTACATCTTTTTTTTTATCTGAATAATTTAAAATATCCGTGTTATCATTAAATAAATCTGTAACATAAATAATGTCTTTTCGAAGATAGGTTTACGATTAATTGTTATTACTTTATTGTTCCATAGGGTAGGGCTATGGGGAGAAAAGCTGTGGGTGGAAATTATTTTCCAATAATGCAAAATCTGCTGTGGAAGTTGGACAGCTTGGTTTGAATCCAGTTTACATCAAAATTACATTTTGGAATAAAGTCTAAACCTCCTAATTTATCAAACAAGGATCTTGGAATGTGATACAACATAGAATTCAGGTGCAGCATATAATATTTGATCCAGTTAATTCAGAAGGTACCAACCATTGATTCAGTATCTGGAGTTTTAATACCACCTTTATTGTATTCTTTAAGCCACTGAGATTTTTTGATGTAATGCGTTTTATTCCTCCATAAAAATTAGAATATTTTTTGGGTTTGCTTTACTCGTGTTTTTAGAGGAAATAAACAAGGAGTGGCAGGGATAGATCAGTTTGGAGATAACTTCAATTTTGGACAGAATAGTTCTGCCAAATATAGCAAGGTCTCTTGTTAACCAGTGACTAAGGCCTTTTTTCAAATCCAAAATACGATTTGTGATATTTCTATCTTCTCTTCTAGTTAAGTGTTTTGATATTGTCAGCCCCAGATATTTAACTTCAGTTACAACTTGAATTGGGGCAACGGAGGGATCAGGACTTGTATGAATAAGGAGTAGTTTGCATTTTTTGATATTAAAAGTAGTGTTGCACCGATACCGATACCAGTACCGGACGGGGCCCCAATACTGCCCTAAAATGGTGGTATCGGTATTGGCGAGTGGCAACAAATAGGGCAATGATACCATTTTGAGAGCCATAAGTTTATTCAACTATTGTCACCCACTCCTGGTAGGCAATAAAAAGTTCTACTGGATTCACTTTTTATTAGATTTTTTCCTGCTTCACAAAGGTAGGCAGCAGCTTGACAAAGCCATGATGGCAATTATTTTACATTATTATGGTATCGGTATCGGCCGATACTGCACAGCCAGGTATCGGGTATCGGTATCGGGGCCAAAAAATGGCATCGGCGCAACACTAATTAAGAGATAAACCAGACGCTACAGAGTAGATGGAAATAGTACTGAGGGCTTTATCTTTCATTGATTTATCTTTTAAAAAGATACAGGTATCATCTGCAAATTGGCTTATTCTAAATTCTCTATGGAAAATTGCGAGACCTTGTGTGTCATTGGAGTTTTTAATTAACAAAGCGAGCAGCTGTGTTGCTAAAATAAAAACATAAAAAAAAAGCTTTGGGGAAATGGGACAACCCTGTCTGACTCTGCATTAAATCTCAAATCCAGGAGTTATTCCTGGGTTTAGAGAGACCGTGCTACTGACGTCAGTGTAGATCATTTTAACTATTACACAAAATTTGCTTCCAAAACCCAAAAAGTGTAAAGTTTTTTGCAAAAAGGGCTGTTCAAATGTGTCAAAGGCTTTAAAAAAGTCTAAGAACAATATTTAGCTATTTGTATGAATAAAGTCTCTATAATCTAATAGGTTAATAATTGGTCTAGCATGGTTATATATAACTCTACCGTTCACAAAGGCTGATTGACACTCATCCACTAGTTTTGCTAATCCTATATCTATCTATTAGAGTAGATGTGAGCAATTTATAGTCGTTGCATAGTAGTGTTATTGGACTCCAATTATCTAATAACAATCAATCTTTATTCATCTTTGGAATTAGGGTTATAACACCTCTTTTCATCGTAGGGCACAGCTGACCAGATGAAATGCATTCAAGCAGGGCATTATAAAGCAGTAGTCTGATATCATTCCAAAAATTGATTATAAAACTCTATTGTTAATCCAGTCTGCAGGATTTTCCTTTCGACATTTTTGCAATTGCTAAATTTCAGCTCTTGAATTTTGAGGTTGTAATCCAAAAGTTGCTTAAAATTCCCATTAGTTTTTTTCTCTATATTTCCCAATTTTTTCAAAAAATATTTGACAATGGTCTACTGAAAATTTGGACGTATACAGTTTTTATAAAAGTTTCTTACTTCCTTATTAACTTCATCTTGGTTATCAATACTTATATTATCAATAAGTAACTTATTACTTTTCCTCTTTGTTTGTCTTTGTTTTTCCAGATTAAAGAAATAGGAAGTGTTTTAAACTACCTTGCAAAAGGGCACTATCAAGGGTTACCCACCTCTTTACTACACTTCCAACATTTGTTATCCTTTATTCAGATTGATCATTATTGAGTAATACAGAGAATTGTTAAACCTAAATTTTTTGAGATTTATTCAACTTTTATTGAATTATTTGAAAATATACTGAACAGAGCATCTCTAATGTCTCCATGGCATTAGGTTGACCTTAGATTGAAAAGAGCATGGAAAGCACCTAATACCGATGTACCTCTGCAGGAGAGTGATTGCTGATGCTGCAAACTGATTTTAATTCAATTCAATTCAGTTTATTTATATAGCGCCAATTCACAAGATCATCCAGTCAGATTGATTCAAGGTTTCTATCTAAGGAAAACCAGTTGATTGCATCAACCCATTGACTTGCAGGAAATCCCTCACACCAAGCATGCTTGTAGCGACAGTGGAGAGGAAAAACTCCCTCCGAATAGGAAGAAACCTCCAGCAGAACCAGACTCAGTGTGAGCGGCCATCTTTTGGGGCCGACTGGGGTTCAAGGAGACAGAAGCAGAGATAGAAAAAGCAACTGTAAAAGGAAACACACAGCCAGGCAGACGAGCTCCGAGCCAGCTCCCCTGTCATAGGATGAAGAGAGCACATCCAGTTAGTCACAGTCAGAGAAACAGGACTACCCTTATTTTAAATCTGAAAATGTACAAATGAATAACAACTTTTAATTTTGATAGTTGATATCTGAATGAGGTATATATATATATATATATATATATATATATATATATATATATATATATATATATATATATATATATATATATATATATATATATACACTCACCGGCCACTTTATTAGGTACCCCATGCTAGTAACGGGTCGGACCCCCTTTTGCCTTCAGAACTGCCTCAATTCTTCATGGCATAGATTCAACAAGGTGCTGGAAGCATTCCTCAGGGAGTTTGGTCCATATTGACATGATGGCATCACACAGTTGCCGCAGATTTGTCGGCTGCACATCCATGATGCGAATCTCCCGTTCCACCACATCCCAAAGATGCTCTATTGGATTGAGATCTGGTGACTGTGGAGGCCATTTGAGTACAGTGAACTCATTGTCATGTTCAAGAAACCAGTCTGAGATGATTCCAGCTTTATGACATGGCGCATTATCCTGCTGAAAGTAGCCATCAGAAGTTGGGTACATTGTGGTCATAAAGGGATGGACATGGTCAGCAACAATACTCAGGTAGGCTGTGGCGTTGCAACGATGCTCAATTGGTACCAAGGGGCCCAAAGAGTGCCAAGAAAATATTCCCCACACCATTACACCACCACCACCAGCCTG